AGACCTTATATATGTTGACCTGAACTGATAATTTACCTGTCTGAATTAATCCTTTGTTGAACACGACGACAGAATTTTAGTCTAGAGCACAATTGATGGATTCCATGCTCATAGTAATTGGCTCTCAGTCACTTACTGCCACTAATCCCAAAGTCATGATTAGATTGGTACAAGAAACAGACAGTCTCAGAAATAAATGAATACCCATATTAATGATGTATCTCAAAAGACGGGACAGTTCTTGTTTCAGTGAAGTTAAACAAACTATTTAGCTGTACTTCTATTCAAAAAGTAGCTTCATTCATCGCATTTGATTTCACAGCTGTTATTAACACGAATCCAATAGTGTGCGTTTATTCAAACTCCCACAGTAAGCACACCTAGACAGAGAACTAAGGTTTACTGAATAATGAACAGCGGTTGAATCATTTATCTGACCGTATCCAACTATTAATTTCATCGGTTAATGACAACAGAATGACTGTTAAGCAAAGTAAAGGTAGGTGAGCGTTATTTTACGATCGATTGATTTCCTTAAATAAAGCGTATTTCAGTACGGAATGAATTTTAGTATCCCTGCCATAATAAATGATCAGTCATTCGTTAAGTCACAAACATATAATCTATCATCCAGATATTGAGCCAGCTATATGATATGGAGATTTAAGTATACAAGTATTTACAAATACTTTGACATTTGTTAATGCATGAATTATTTAGTAAAATTCAGCTTTTTCTCTCGGACAAATATCAAAAATAAGACAAACGTTGACAAATTTTTCGCCGAATTATGAAATTTTTCAACCATTTTTCCGCAGACTTTCAAATTTAAAAACGAAGTAATTCATATAATAAGTTGGCGTATAGTAATTGAAGTACATGGTGAAAGAAGTTTAAGGCCACATTACATTACAGTGAGGTCTCTCTGGCGAACTAGGACCATTTTCATTATGTTGAAGTGGTTTTACCACTTTAGAAAGACAAGATAACAGAAGTGCCTAGTTTGAGACATCTCTGCTCCACACTGAACGTCCATAGGTAACTCATTTATTTGATGCCTGAAACCGCTCCACTGCAGCACTGCTGGATTAAAGGTTCATGTTTCAAACCTTCCTGTGGTGTATCATAATACAAAATTTTATTCTGTGGCAGATGACTAGCAGTAGCATTTGTCACCTGGATGTATCTGCACCTCACACAGTGACTACATCACAAATGAGATTCAAATTCAAAGTTTCAATCACTGAAGCCTTATTCATCAGATTACTGCATCAGAAGATCGATATTATGTTCACTGCGCATCAATTGTTATTTGTCAAAGCTGATGAGTTCTAAATAGAACATATTTTGCATTCGACTGCCAGCCATCACCTATCAAATAACACTAAGTTGAAGCTTTTCATTTAGGTACCACTATGTCAGCAGACATCAGACTGTTCAGCCTAGTATCAACAAACAAAGTGAACCATGTAGGTAACAAAATTAAAAACAGTGTACTATTTCTTCAATAAGGCGAAATGGCAATAAAAACTATCTAATTCTATTTTAACTGCATTGGAAAGCGTAAATCTCTGCTAAAGATTAAAAAAACAAAACAATTTTTATGCTGAAACATTGGATGGTGGTTCATTTTCGCCTAAAATATAAAAAAAAACACTTATGAGCCGTATATATTTGATGTCTGTACACAATAAATTAATTATTTTATTCCCTTTTTTTCCTTCAATGAGCATTGTTTATTTCTAATTTCTTTATTTGTAACCTATCAAGCTATAAAATGAGCATAAAATATTCTCTCAGTCTTTCAATGTTCTGTCAAGCTAATGCAACTTAATCATTCGAAATACTTAGAATAAACTTCTCATTCCACTTTGCATTTTAACCATAAGTAATTGAGAAATTTGTTCAGTGGATTTTCTCAATCCCTACAACTGCACTGTTCTGACAATATGTTTATTTTAGCCAGGCCTCTCCGTTGTTAAGATGGTTTTCTTGAAACAACTGTGAGACATATATTATAGTCGTAAAATACATGTACATTTTAGTTTTAAGGGTAATTTTTTTAAATCGTGGAAAATACACATCGAGACATTAGACTGAAAAGAACAAGAAGTTCAGCAAAGATATCTTTTCGACAATTTCATTCTCAACAGCTGTACAATCGTATTTATATACATTAATTTACATGGATACAATTATTGTTTGTCTAATTCCACATAGTAACGAAGGTGATAAGAATTCTCGACTTGATATAAAACTTTGAAGGTACGGATATAGACTACAAGGGGCCTAGAGACAAGATTGCATAGGGTTAGAAAACAGTTACAACGTATGCAAAATTAGTATTTGGTAACTGGAGAAATGATTTTAAAGGTGACAATTATTTTCAACTTGATATGAATTACAAGAGGCTTAGAAACAAGAACTACGCAGGGATAGAACGCATTACTGGGGTGAACAAAATGAGCATGGAAACAAATTGAAATCAGAATTTTGAACTTGAAATGTAAGTTAGGAGGTGTGAATATAGGTTACAAGTGGCATAGAAACAAAAAATTACACAGGATTAGAATATAATTGTAAAATGGTTATTCTAGGCGGATTACAAGTGTGATCAGGAGGAACATGGAAACAAACTTAAAATAAAACTCATAATGGAGTTATACTGTACCACAATCCCCAATTTTTATACTTATATCCATGTAAACTAATCTATATAAATGTGATTGTACAGCTGTTGAGAATGAAATTGTCGAAAAGATATCCTTGCTGAACTTCTTGTTCTTTTCAATCTAATGTAAGGGTAATTTCCATCATAAACTGACACCAGGTTGAAGATTACGGAAAATTATATAGCTAGGAATAAACATTTTTCATTAAGATGGGAATATTTACCATTGTACAAGCATATAATCGGCAGGTAAATGTGGTCAGGATAATTATTTATATCATTTGGGTGCTTATTAGGAATTAAACAGCGATTGACTCTTAGTTGATGCTGACAACTAATCTATTATTTGACATATATATATATATATATATATATATATGCTGAAATGCTAATGACCACCAGTGGAATGTAGCATATAATCTATTTTCACGCTCTCAGGATCAGCTGCAAAGTAGTTTCTTTGTACAAATGTCATACAGAAAAACTACAATCCACTGGCATGTGAATATCGGAATCCATTCATACTTTTAACTAGGCATAAGATGTCAGACTGAATCTGATACTAAGTGCCAGTTCTACATGAAAAGTTTTGACCATGGAATATGAGTATATTAAGTAGTGAAATTATGAATGATCAGCTCTGTAAGTTATATTTAAAGCTGGCTGTAACTTTTTGAGCAGTAAACATCCTGTTAAGATTTCTATAAATATGCACATTCATCGAATGGAATAGATATGGCTAAATATTTTATCATCTTGTTTATATAGAATTCGGATTTTGTAGATTGCTCTAGATGTATCAGTATTAATTTGCCCATCCTAAGTGATAAAATTAACTCAGCTATGCTGAGCACAGCTTTCACATTCAACCCAGTTTCAGAAAGAAGGAAGTACCATTTATTTCATTCCTGAAGCGTGTGTTATGTAGATTTGAAATTTAATAAAACTTCACTCGTGGAGAAACAGCCTTTCACACTCAATGGATCTTTCCAACTCACATCATTTATAGGTACAACGTTTTCTCGCTCTTCATTCTGTATTTTATTTTTGTTATGTGCTGTTTTGTTTCTCTCTTCCTTGCAAACTCTACTTAAAACATTCTTGTTCGTTCTTTCACACTCTGTATATCTCGACCATTTTGCTATCGCTTACGCCAGTAAATATGCTAGTAGTATCTACTTTTCTAACACCTTCAAACACTTTAATTTTGGCTTTGCTACCGACATACTAATATGTTGTTGAGATAACTTTAATCTATGTAGAACTTTATTTATTGTTAATGTAAAAAACTGGATGCAATATTGTAGTAAAATGCTGAGAATTCCATTCTGTATCACAAGTACTGATTTGGAATAAAGCTCATGTTATGTTATGTTATGTTAAACTGCTCCCCTAAACTTTAAATAGTGACCGTGTGACAATTAAACACTAGACCAAATGTCTCCTTGTTGATTATAACTTTCTTGACATCTGTGCGTTCAATAAGTGGGCATATTACATAATGCGATTCAATATTATTTGTGACATGTGAATATATGAAAAAATCAGACTATTTTTTAAAAATACAGTTTTAATATGAGTACATCTTCAACTATTCAGTGGCTGCAGTTCACTGTTGAACTAGGGATTAATGCTGACCAAATACGTCTCAAGTAATTACGTTCAGTAGAATCATTCATTATTTTGACTAAAAGTTTAAAATTCTTCGCTTTGTTCAGTAAATCGTAGGTCCACTCGTCAGGGCATAAAATCATTCTGAGGATGGCTTATACTACCTTGTGTTTCACTTTGGCATAATTTCCCTTATGTTGACTAATAAATAGTTCGGTGCACACTTATTTTTGTATTTGTAACTGAATAACAGAGTCTGTCAGCCTTTAAATGATTATTTTTGCTGTCACGGAGAACTGCCTCTTACTACCAAACAACCAGTGTCAGAATGATATTCACGTTCGTTCACACACTTCTTACGCCAGTAGAGAATAATCACTTTTACCAGGTAAAAGGGGTAGCGATAAACACAATCCATTGATAGCTTGTACAAGCAATGGGTTTGGTGAGTAACAGCCCAGTGTATAATACTCAGGTGAGAGGTGTATCCAAAGAGCGGGAGACTAGCGCAATAAAAGGCATATTAAAAAAGACAACAGAATGAAGATCTCCACAGGTCATAGAGTTAGCATTGCATTTTTTAACGAGCCACCTTTATTTAGTATAGTAGAAACGTTGTTATGAGAAGAAACTAACATTAAGATACTCTTGGCATAGTCTTTTGCAATACTTAATCAACTGGATATTTTAAAGAATTCGGAGAAGAATAAAAACTTACTAAACTCTCGAACACAATTCGCCAGTAAATTATTTACACGGAATTCTATATTAGCGTGTTTTCTCAGTTCAGTTTTAGCCGTAATTGTATCCCGACTAGCTCTGGATTCCAACAGCAATAGATCTTCACACTCTTGCAGCCAACCGCGTAATTCAGCGAACTCAGTGAGATGCATAAAACACTGATAGCCAATGTTTAAACGATCTGTACGCCTTGTCAGTCGGTTGTCTAAATTCTTCAAATCATGACGAAATTCATTAGCCGTTGTATACAGATCATTAAGAATTTTCCTAGGGATTCGATAGTGAATGCCTGTGTCCGTCAATAATTCAATTTCAGCACATTCACTAGTGTCTTCTCCAGTTCGCTTTTCTGATGTCGTTTTCCGAGTAGAGTGTTGACCACTTGTAAAGGAATTGTTCGAGATTTCTTGAAATACAGACTGAAACCGTGTAATTATTTTATCCGACTCCTGAAAAATGTATTACAGTAATTATGAGCGAATCAACTCGAAAATTTTATAATAAATCACAGAATACAACAAGGTGAGATACCTTAATATCTGAGTGTGGAAGGAAAACGAGTATCTATTCAATAAAAATGAAATACTACAAACAACATGTAGGAGAGTACTAGGTGAACCAAAAAGGATCTTTTCTGTTAATGCAGTTTACAACACTGTAGGCTCGCTAATTCACATTCAAGTCATCTTCGGTTATATTCTGAGTAGGGTACGTCTCTGTGAAAGCAGAGAGAGGAACAGAAACGCTGATCCAACAACGGAGACAGAATTTGTTTTATTAATTCTGTAAACAAATGCTAGGTGGTTGGAGAATGATGACCATACTATCAAACTATTAACCAACACACATCCATCACAATACAGGAACGAAGAAAATCATTCATTCTGTTCCGATTCGACAAAAACTGTGTTTTCAAGACTTCTGATCTCACAGATTCATTGGCGAATGCTTCCTATTTATTCTTCATATGACCTCTCTTTATAGATTCTACATAATAAGGTATACATCGTCTTTGATTATCACTGCATAGCGCAGTTCTTACTCTCTTACATTTGAAAAAATATTGCCATAGAAGCAAGAAAATTTACTTAGCTTTTATCAAATGTTAAGTATGTTATATTAGTAGTAATTCCATTGTAATTAATCATAAGTTTAAGGTAATATACGTATTGTGAAAAGCCATGAAAATGAATTATGCTATTTAATTTCGAAAATTCACTCTTCCTCGCTTCATTCAGAATTCTAAAGTTGGTGGATTTATAGAAATTTGATTGCTTCTAAAGTAGTTTTTCTAATACTGAAATTCATATCGAAAAACGATTGAAGACCAAGCAGTCAACTCCTTACCGAATACTTATATTTATGATTATTCAAGCTTATCAATTGAGACTTTAGTACGGGTGTGTATTAATGACATTGGACAATGAACCGTCATGTCCGTGTACAGCAGCTGAATAACAGCATGCTAGTTATCAGTTGCAGTCCTGACGAAGTTTAAGTGTCATAATCAAAGTCAGGTCAAAAGCTCCCCTTCAAGAACCAATCAGACTTAGAGAACACTAAGGAAGTTTATTCCAAATCAAATCATGCCTACTCTCATGGATTTGGCAAATGAGTTCCATGAAGACCGAGTATTTCACTTCTTTGCCAAAAGCGGATTAACCGAAGTTACAAAGATTTGCATGTGTGTGGAGAGTTTGAAATAACTATCGCTACAGATGCAGTTCTTCCTATAAGAGAAAATCTGTTCGCTAGGGTAGGTAAAATACTCTACAGTTAGAGTGAATTATAGCGACTCAACCTATTCTGCTTATTCCCTAGGTATTTGTTTCTGTTAAAGCTTAGGGTTAAGGATAGGTTAAAAAATAGAGTCAAGAATATCAATGGATCCCAAAGCATCATGCTCTACAGTTACTTAGATGAATACATCTAATGCGCGTGGTATAATTTCTCTATGGATTACCCTTGGAGTAACTCGGAGACACTCTTACAACAAATAAGGGACAATTATCTAGTGTAATATCGTGTCTGTAAAGTCTTTTAATGAATTTTCTAACGATTATGAGACTACTTTTGCATCTAAGCTCTAAGTGGTGGTTCAGGGTCAGTGTGCTTTTTGGCTATGAAACTCTTGCTTTGCTCTAATCTTCACCAACTTAGGCTCATATAAACCTGTGGATTTGTATTTTCTATCTATTCTGGTTTCAGAGAAATAGGTGCCAAATATGCCCTGGTTTATAGCACTTCTGTTTTGATTTTGAAATATGATGAAAAATTGCACTGAGAATTAATTCACTTGCTCACCTGGAGTGTAATCTCTGTTCTCTTTGTTCTGTTGGCGACTTCATTCACTAGAAGTCGATGTTGTCTAATCAGTTGATTTACAGCAAACAGAGAACGGCCTATGTAGGTGTCATTAGCTAGTAGAAGTTTTTCATGTGTCCAAATCCTTTCATCTTCTAGATCTCTGAAAAGAAATGTAAAAATGATTCTGATCAGCAAAACTCAATATTTCGATTTATCCTGATGTTAACACTAACGAGAATTTAACATTCTTCAGTCTTTCCACATTCATTTCGAAATATAAATTCCTAGCTTGATGTTTTGTGTTGGAATTTAGTTGGCAAGCTGTTAGTGATTCAGCATAACTGTTCTGAAAAAATCTCATTTATATTCAAATCCCTACAACCCAACACTTGAATATCAATGAGATGCTCAATAGCGATTGGCCCTATTCAGGTAGGTAGTTACCTGGGGTTCTAGTGAGAAGTCGTGACCAGTAAGGTGCAGCAGGTCGGGTTTGAGGACAAATACTCGCTGAAGACATTCGCTAGGGTCGGGCTATGTCGTGAATTGGCAGAAGTTAGAATTCGTGGGCCATTGGATCGGGTCCCAGTGGCTCAATTGTATACGAGCTTGCCTTGTAACCAGAAGGTCCTGGGTTCGAATCCCGGTGACTGCATACTGCTAAAGAGTCCTAAACTAGGACGAAACAGTTGTCCAGTACCCCCAGGTTTTCCAACGGTTCTCTAACCAATGTCAGCTCATGATGAAATCCAGAAAATCTCATTTAGTTTCAGAATTCTAACTTGGTACTCAAAATAGTTTCCTATAGTTAAACCCTTTACATAATAAGACGTGTGAGAGAGAATGGTTAAGCCGACAAATTAGTTGGTTGAAATGTTCACAAAATTACTGACATAAAAATATGGTTAGGCCTTTTGCAAGGCCTGTCATATCTCCCTTTATAATGGTGGTGACTCCATCGAGAATACCATTAGGTGCTTGAAGAAGAAACTATCCTGTCAAGTAGATATAATCATGCCAAAGTTGTCTGCCTGATGAAAAAACAGAGGAATTTAGTCTCTGGCATTCTTATGTATGCTGGTGGGCTGTTTCTCTTGTTTCCGCTAGCCTTGTAACCATATGCAGTTTCACGTCAACTAGAACCGTTTAAAACTTAACAGTAGAAATTACGACCAAGTTAAACGTTTTTATCAAATTTGTAATTACCTATAAAGTTGGTAAATGTGCTTTTGTGCTTTCAATTCTTCAGCGTGTTGATGAATAAATATTTGAATTTTCCAGAATTTTCTGATTAATCTCTGAATTTTTAGATCTATTTCGGATTTTTTCATTTGACTATCAAGAGTTGACAAAACTTTTGAATGTTCCTTGAAGAAGAATATTTTTGAGAGAAATAAAGAAAAAAGAAATTTTATAGTTTTATTCTATTTCATGTAACAGTTGTTATTCACTGAAGCATGTATTTGTGTCCCAAAAAGTTAAATTGAACAATGAACTATTTTCTTTGAAAAATAACAATTTACCTGCTGAAAAAATATGTTGAAAAAATATAGTCCTATCACCTACCAGGTAGTGAAATCGCAGCTGATATTACAGTAGGGCAGAAGGATCATTAATCATCTAACAGTGATTTCAGTGTAGAACATATAATTTGTAGTTAATTCGCAAACTGAACCAGCATTTAGTAATTTAGGATCAGGAATTGGTCAGCTAGCTGGACGCAAATCATTTGAATAAACTAGCTATTCTTCGCTCTGAGTTTGTTCGTATAGAGAGCTGGTGAAGACAGTCTAGACACAGCAGGATGACAAACGAGTGCTGATACTGATTGTTTCTTTTTTATTTAAAAGCTAATGTCATTATCAGCGTATAGCGGTTTTCAGAATAAAATTTATCAGTCTACATTTGCAACTGAGTTTTTATTTGTGAATAGGGAGATTGATCAATTTGTTATGTCAAATATGTTTTGTTTAAGCACACTGATTGTAAGAAATAGTTAAAAAAAACCAAGTATACATACGAATTGATATTTCAAACAAATGTAACTGACAGTGATGACATTTTCATTTAGTATAGCTTCACTGGGCATTTATACTTAAGCTTTTTCTTACAGAAAAAGAATGCAGAGGATGAAGGGTTGTTAAGCTTCGTTGTGTAGTGTTTTCATGTCCACACCACAAATCTCTTCAACCATGGTACATGTAAATGAATGTCATAAATACTGTCGGAAAATAACAACAGTCTTGTGACTGAAATTTGTCTTCTCGTATTTGTATTTATACCACTTGTAAACTATTTGGAGGTAAGTAGGTGACGTGTTTAGTAACTCCTTTTTTTATATAAGTAGTCAAAAGCGATTTTTCCTCAATATCACATCACACTTTACTAATATTTTTGATGGTCGAATGAATTCTACAAACAGCTTATTTAACAAAGTTAAAACTGCTCCAATTTTGTTTCAGCTTAGAACGTTTCCTGCAAATATTTTAAAACACCAAACCGTTGTTTATCATTTTGTGGTACTAAATGCTCAGCATGCTTGATGACCAAGAATATTTTCATTTGACATGCTACACTTAAATGCAAACAGGCTTTGAGATAAAAAAAAAGCCTTAAATAGCTTTGCGGTAATTTTATGCTTGCATAGTTCACATCATAGGCATAGAGAGAATCTTCTTTCAGTTGTAAGAGGCTTTTCCTGCACCCATGAGGTCACCTAAACATTTTCGAAATGGCAACTATTCACTAATCTTCTAAACCTCCTTCTCTAGGGTTAGATACAATTATCCAAATGTGAATCGATTAGCTTCCACCTTTTTCAAATACCAGCAACACAAAATTACAGTGAATTTTGTGGACATAAAAAACAAAGAAAAAGAAGTAGCACCGACAATCTCTACTGGAGAAAAGCAGTAAAATTACATTATCAGTTCCTTGGAATTCTCTTTCTGCTTCACTCCTTGTCTGCCCAGCAAAATACAGGACATATTTACATCTGCAGGCAATATGCCATCACTTTCAACTGGCAACATATCTGCTCAAAAACGTCTACTTTGTCTTCACGTGACCTCCACAATGTCCAAACTGCCAATTCTCATTCGGCCTTCATTCTAACGCTTGTCATATATTATCTCTCAGAGGTCTTCTTAGTGCAGTCCATCACTACCTTCTACATGTTTACTAAGTAGTGCTCTGTTAGCTGGCTAACTGACTAATAGAGTTCCTTGTTACTCATCCACTTCATCCATTTCATTTGGTCTTCGGTGGCAAATCAGCGAAGGCACCTGCTGATGAAAGTGTAGTGTTGGAAATTTTCGTAGTGATATGCATGGCAGTTCTGTGAATCGCATAGAAGTTCTGACTTCTTCCCTATGCTAAGTGTTGTAAATCTCCACACAGGTATAAGGAAAATGAGCGCCTGTCTTGATTTTTCATCCTAAACCCTACCACCTATGCAGATAAGTAAAATAGATGACTTCTTTCAGATGTGTCCCATTGGTGGTGATGGTTGGTGTCGGTCGGACACCTTCACTACTTCCTCGTTTTCTGTGTTACCGGAAGTTCCTTCTTCTCTGCCCCTTCCACTAACTTGTCGGTTTTATACCTGTAGAAATAAATCACTTCCAAAGTCTAGATCACCCAGGCTCATTTTGCTGGTTCAACATATGTCAGTCTTTTTGCTTCTTACAGTACATCATGTGATACTCCACATGTGATAGTGGGCATCTTTGTCTTATTCCTAACTTCAATTCAAAAGCATCGGTGAGCTTTCCACTGAGAATTACTTGGTATATGGCGCATCATACAGGTACAGGATGAGAATTGTAAGGGTTTGCGGAACTATACCTTCTAATGTTTAGTCAGTTTCCAAATTACTTCACTGTTGACTCTGTCGAATTGATTAAATTAAAGTATTGAGTTGAATTCTATTCATTTCCCTGTTGGATGATGACGCGAAATATTACAACTCGATTCGTGCATGACATTTGCGGAATCCAGTCAGTTGATGGTGAAATCTACCCATTCAACTATTCCAATCGTGATTATAAGTTATCAAGTTTTGTTAATACATTAATATCATTATTAGCAGTAAATTGTGTTCGAAACTTCATCCAGTTTTTAATACGTTATCACTGCGTACTACATAGAATAATACATCTAGTATGGAATTATATTCCACCACAATGCCGAAATTTTACTCTTACATTAGTGAAGGGATGAGGTGAATACCAGGCTCCTAAATAAAACTCAGTGGTACAAATAGAGCTGAGTGAAATAACAAATGGTGTTTATAGCGTTAAGATAGATAGTTTCGCAACAATAATACGCTTAAGAAGCAAAAATGAGATAGGAAAAAAGTGATTTAGAGGAAATCTATTTTTCTCATTAAAAACAACAAAGTAAAAGTCTCCCAGGCGCATAAAATTATCCCCAGGTTTTTGCTGATATGACAGAATTCTTACTTAATAATTTAGCCAAAGGGGTTGTTGTAGATTTCAATATTTAACATACTCATTTTAATATGCATGACACGAGATATAAAACTAATCTAGAATATATATGCTGTTCATGTAGTTCATTTCCCTCCACAAAAGGAATTTGAAATTTAAAAATACATTTTTGTGGCAAGTTACATGTTGATCCCTGAATCCGTCAAGTTATTTAATCTATTCCTACAAGTAATCTTGAGAAGTGAAAGCCTTAACAGTGTCAAAACTACTTAAACTCGGCATTTTTACAGGTCAGCTTTTTAATGTTTCCTAAACATGATAGAAACTCTTCAGAAACTCTCCAGAAGTATCCAGTTTACTTTACGATCATTGTGTGAAGATGTTGACCTTTATGTCATGTGCCTAAGCATAATTCACTTTCATACTCTAGTGTCATTTGAATAATGTGAATCATCAAGAAATTTAATTTCACTAAGTGGTATAACATGCACTTTTGATGATGCATGCATGTAAGTAGTTAAGTGACACAAACTGCTGTAAAACACTGAAATCAACATTGACACAAGTCAATTTCTGAAGACTCATAATAACTAATTCTGACTTTTTTCGTAACTAATGGCTACGAATTTATACGACCTAAGTCGCTATTTACTTTTCATTGTGTGTTTCTTGTGTGTGTGTGTGTCTTTCACATAAACTAATTGGAAATGCGGTAGCTCAGAATGGCGTACAAGTTGTGAATGTTTATCTGTCAGGTAGACTTTAGAGGATGAAAATCTACAAGCTAGGTAGAATCACTGGTCTTAACAATACCAGTGTATATCAAAAGAATCTCTAAGGCTTATTTCATTATGTGATTGTGTTTTCTTTTGGAAACTTCTGTCGAACTTGTACCTAAAGCAATAATAATAACAATAATAATGCTAATGTACCATTAAATATAAGTCAACAGGAAATTAAACTTTAACTTTATGAGTATAACAAGATAATTGGCATAATTCAGGTTGTGCAGAAGCAAAGCGTCTACTTTGTTTTTCCGTATCTCCTACTGTACACCCTATAACTAAGATAATAATAAAACAAAAGATGAGTGATTTATAAAACTGAATGAAACAGGTTTCAGTTTCAACAAACAGCCTATTGTATTATTCATCAAATAAAGGAGAATTATAAACGTCGAAATTGAGAACCAAGGGAAACTGGAATTACTACAACTTTTCTGTTTCATTTTTATTTACAGAATAATGTTAAGTATGGATTTAAAAAATTGTATTTATCAATTTAATGACAATGTGAAAGTGACAGATATTCAACTAAATTAGTAAAATGATTATTATTCTAAACGAAAAAAACAACAACTAAATATTACCTACTGAGTTTTGATTTCATCTCTATTTACCCGATAACGTGCTCAACGACAGCTGGTTCAGTTCCATTCGTTTTTGTTTTTCAAATAGAAGAAATAACACTATTGCTAATTTTAATCATTGTGACTTATTTTCGAGAGACTAATGAATCCAGGTAAAAAACAACGTTAATTTTTAAATTGGTTTCTAACACAGATGGTTTTTATTAGATGAAGTATGATTGAAAACTGGGGAATCGTGTTTAGCAGTTGTGTTGTGCTTTGAGACTTTTCATATATTTGCACACTAAAGTTTATACCTAGTTGGTGATACATAAGTCAAGTGTCATAGTATATGTACTACCACTTAGTTAGTGGTTTCAAAGTCAATAACGAAACACAGTGTTTCAATAACAAAGAGCTTACTAAGAAAATGGACAATGTTTGACTTGCATGCAACTGCAGGTAGGTGGTTTAACAGTGTAAATTATTCCCAAATCATGAATTAAAGGTCAATATGCACCAAGAATATTCTTCATAATAAATATCTTCAGGTTCTTAGAATTATAATATATAATATTTGTTGTCGTTACAGTAATGGCCAGTTATGCAGTGGAAACGTTTTCACGTAGAATAACAGATTAGTTATATGGTGAAAAACGTGGTGGGATATAAAATGTTGTGAAATAAGAGATAAAATTGTGAAGAAGTGTGACTAAATTGATATGATTACGAGCAATAATTTATGCTCGAAACATCATCCAGATGTTAATATTACCTCACTGTGTGATATTTAAAATAAACCTTATCTAATATGGAATCACATTCTAACATAGTGCCCAAGTTCTACACTCACATAAGTGAGACACAGATTATAGGAAGTGAATTGTGCGCCGATACTCTTATTATTAATCTGAAGCAGCTACTACTTAAATTTACAGCGGATTTCCAACTCTTTCTTGATAATAACATGTACAGAGAGAAAGGTGACGTGGTCAGGGGACCATCCCTAGGTCCTATTATTTGCGAACAAAACTAGATATTTGTCCTTTAAAAGATGAAACAGTTACAATGGAACTGTACTGTCGTTACATGGTTGAAATTTTGTAGTGTACTTTAAAGCTTTATGCAGTGATTTGATCTTGAGTCACTTCAGAAGTGCTCACCCAGAGGCCTATTTAGCCTACAAAGGACAATGCAGTAAATCTCTGCACTTTTACAGTGTCTTACTAACAAGAAGAGAGGACGTTTCCATTGAAAAAACCATACTGAGAAAACTAGAGACCAAATCTCCATGTACACACTTCCTTAGTTTCGTTCCTATTAAATTTAATTTCGATCTGATAGAATGCTCAGTATTTAGAAAAAGAGTTCGATGTGATCTGTTGATTGAAAAGAGAATGAACTCCAAATCATCCTGAATATTCCAAGCGGAAACCAATATAATCACATAATGGAATTATACTCAAACACAGTGCCCAAGTTTTATCCTTATATCAATGCGAACGGATAGCCAGAGCAGTTTATAAAAGCTAAAATAAATTATAGTACACATAAACCTAAACTCGTAAAAGTGAAGAACAAAGCCAATATTTTACATCTGCTATGTCGAAACGGGATTGTTTGTGGATTCTATCCAAATATCTAACCACAGCGACATGTAAGACTTTCTACTCTGAACACCTATTTCTGTCCTTCGGTAACCATCCAGTATTCACCCAAAAAAATAAAAGACGTCTCAATTAGCCTTAGATTTTCCTCATGCATATACCTCTCCAGCTGTTCCTGTGGTTCAAGTTATCTAGTGTCTACAATAAGGCAGCTTCGTCTACAGGTTCAAGAATATTTACGATCATCCTTAAGGAAGGGAAAAATTCAGTTCGTAAAAAGCTCGATTCAGTCACACATGTCCGATAATCCACATCTCATCAACGCCAATATTGCCTTCAGGGTCACATAACACATTCCGAAATGATTGCCACGCACAGTTCGCCTACGTCTCCAACACATAGCCGAAGCTGTTACAGTAAGATCGACTAAACTGGAACTTTCAATCCAAAAAGAACACGTCCCGATGCTATTTCTACCGTAGTCAAACCTGGATTAATGATTCTTCTCATCGAGAGTGCCTTTTCCCCTTTTCTCTATTAATTTTTCTCTTTGGCGTTGCTTATTATAATCTGCTATAATAATAATAATAATTTTATATAATTTATACCCTTCATTCTAACACTTCGTCTATTCTGTTGAATTTCCCATTTACGCTATTCGGAATTATCATGTATGAGTGATATTACTTCCTTCCTCAATATGTATGTGTATGCCTCCACATGTTCCATCACACACATTGGTATTTATGGCATGATCAACTTTTCACTCCCGTCGTACTATCTCCTACTTAATCCATACTATCGTATACTAGCCAATCACTCACCTGACACCTTTCATAGCCTTGAATTGACTTGTCAATTTTCCTACCCCACTCTCCACAATCCTATTACGACTAATCGCCACCATTGTCATCCATTTCACAATATTTTCTAGTTGATTTCAGCCTAGCACGTTTGTCACACAAATACGACTATTTATTTTGTACACTCCATAACTAATCTGTTATTCTACGTGAAAATATATCCTCCGCATAACTGGCCATTATTGTAATGACATTAATATCATATTTTGTAATTGTAAGAAACTGAAGAGAAATTACTGAAAAGAATGGTTATTTCTGGATTGAAATAGTTCTCTTTTGACGTTTTAAAGATTATTATTAGTTCTGATTGTGGGATCTGCTGAATATTGTGAAGATGAAATACATACTACACTCTGAGTTTTGCCGAACACCGTCTTCATCACATTGCAGTCCAGCTTAACCATGTGAAACATTTATTTGTTTATAGCTAAAGCAACTTATTTAGAATGGGTTAATAACTACAGTCGTTGTTGAGGAGGAAAATGATACTGCTTAGCACAGAAAACTTAACTTACATAGAGTTCAGCCAACAGTTTCTTTTTTAAATCCAACTCGTTTAAATGTTCAGTAATTTTGTTTAAATGTAAATTTGCTTCATTCATACTGATACAAACAGGTTCATTGGCTTTTTTCGTCCAGCTACGCTGCATATATCTATTTTGTAAAAGATCCTCCAATATTTTACCGACAGATTCTGTTTCATCAATTAAATTTAAACCACATTCATCTGTTAAATATTCCAGCAGATTTTCAATCAACACTAAAGGATCTTGTTCAGTGTGTTCCTCTTGAAATTTTATAAAACTATCAGGTGGTCTACGTGTGAGAATCTTCAAAAAGAATTTATCTAACCAGCGATTTAACTCGTTGCACCCATCTTCAAATATAATTCCTAGTTGAAAATAAAATGCAGAAAACAGACAAAAAAAATTGTAGGCATGTTTGTGCAGTGAAGCATATGACCTAATAAAACTCGTAGATAAATTACAGTGTAACTTTAACGTAAAATCTTTCGGACCTATTCATTGGAATGTTAATATAAAATTTTGTTCTACTATTACCTCAGTCTCATTTAAAACTTTTATAATCTTTGCAAGTTAACCTTTTTCTCATTAAATTTGACTTTTTCTAAGAAATGTAGTTGAAGATAATAAATTAGATAAAATTCCAATTACATATAGTATTTAAAACATTACACTAATGCGTTATTTTTTAAAAAAAAACTAATAGCGGTAGTAGTTAGCTGTATCGCTGACGTTATCACCCTTTAAAAGTGTATTAATGACATGAGTTTCTGATAATTTATGACAATGGAGTCTCCAAATGAATCACTTTATACTGAAAGCACAAAACCAGCTATCGAGTAAAGCCGTTAAATTTTTGACTTGCTAAGGATTGAACAAGTGGGAAATTGAATTCGCATTAAGAAGTATCCCGACAGCCAAAATCAATATTTATTTCTAAAATAATAGAGGTTTGTAAGTCATTTGGATGGATGTTTTTGTGTTACTAAAGTTCTTACCCTCATTCTTTTGTCTAGAATGGTTATGTTGACGTTTCATAGACAATCACCTTGCAACTGGGTTACTCTAAATTAATCGAAAATACGGTGAATTCATTTTCACGCCTGTAAAACTAAGTTGGCAGTCAATCGATGGAATACCTCGTATTTCATATTGTCTACACTAGTCATCTACCGCGATCGATTACAACTAGAAAATGAATGAGTGTTACAAGGAAAATTCAAAAAAGTGGTTGAATATTCCTAAAAGCCTTGAACCCAAATAACTTAGGAAAAGATGAAAACGTAAGAGCTGAATCTATTCATGCAGGCACTCTGTAACTTCGTAGTAGAACAACTCATTTGGTTTTAGATACTACATATTAGTTGGCCCTCCACGTACAATTTATTGGGTTATGGTTAGAAGAGAAGGGTTGAACTTGAGACTTCATTAGTTTCATGGTTATGTTCTATGAATGGTTCTGTTGTGTAAAAAATGTGGCCATGTAGAATACTGTCTGTCAGCGACTAAATAAATATTCACTTTCCACCAATGAAAAATTCAATTTTAGTCCTTACTGTTTTATTCTACAAGTAAAAGTTGTTTAGGATGGTAAGTGGTACGAGTCTGATGCCAATACTAAAATCAGCTATCAATAAAGTATTACGATGTTCGCCATTTTTGCTGTTAAGGAAATGAGATACATGCTTCACCACAAATCTCATTGTTACATAAGTGATTACGTATTGCTCCATCGACGTATCACTGGAAAGACGTGTGGGTGTAGAAACCTACTTATGGTCACGTTGTGCTGTTGACGACGAAGAGTTTACCCAAATGGCTTTAAAAACCAGTCATCTCTCAGTCTTTGTTAAATAAAGGTGGTGAATGATCATTCGTACTTATAACAGGACTCATAATAGGTGAGTGTAATACCTATAGGGAAGTAGCCATAAACTTATTCTGAGACCTACAGAATCTATACTACTCATCAAAATCAAGTTTTGTCTAGGTATCATTACACCTATTGAATTGAATTTTTTGATTTTCCCGTCGATTGCTTGGACCGAGGTGCTCGGTCTCAGGTTGACATGTCGGCTTCTTGTGCAGATGCTTCGACGATGTCTGGGCATTTAGTTAGTATACAATTGGTGGATGGTGGCTAGCAGTGGAATCCAGGATGCGCATTTCGTCCTATTTGGGACTCGTCAGCTGGATGTACCTGCATTTCTCGGTGAGTGATGATGTTCCCACTGAAGCATCTGCACAAGAAGCCGACATGTCAACCTGAGACCGAGCACTTCGGTTCCAGCAATCGACGGGAAAATCAAAAATTCAATTCAATAATTAATATGACCCGTTGCACAAGAGGTGGCTCTCGTGGCCCAAGTGGCCTAGTGGATAACGCTTTGGCGTTTGAAACTATGGGCACTGGGTTCGAGCCTCAGTGGGAACATCATCACTCACTGAGAAATGCAGGTACATCCAGCTGACGAGTCCCAAATAGGACGAAATGCGCATCCTGGATTCCACTGCTAGCCACCATCCACCAATTGTATATCATTACACCTAATCTACTCTAGTAATCCTTACTTCAATACATTATCAGGAGTAATGTCGCCAACCAGATTATTATTCTTCGCTTGTCGTACGTTTACGTCTGCATTTCTTCTTTACTTTTACTGTTTATTATTTCTGTTGTCATCATTTTCCGCATCATTCTGATGTTAAATAATGCAACTGCAATTGGTCGTACACGATAAGCACATAAATTACTTCCACACATCTTTCAGTTTGATTTGGGTACTATCAAAATGGACAGATAATGAATGATGAGTATGATCTGAGCATTATGGTATAGCATAACTCCATTTCTTTTTGATTTATCAAATGCTGATAGAGATTTACACATTGAATAATGTTTCCAGTACAATTTATCACTCATCTCTTTATTGCGATAGTCACACTTTATTAAAAAGTAATTCTTATTGTTCTTTAGTTTCTAAATTCAGAATTTTCTTAACACCTGCATCGACAGTGAAACCATTCTGATCACATGTATACAGTGTTGATTTGGTAAGCAAAGTTTTAATAATTATTGTCTCTCCGCCCAAATATACAGAATTCTAAAAAAGAATCCCGACCTATTCCCGTTTACGGAGTGATTATGGATCAGTGTATGAATTGTAGTAGTTGAGCTTTATTCTGCACTAGTTATTTTAGTGGATCTACCAGTCTGTATTTTCTTTTCAGACATCCCAACAAACGGTAAGTTTTTTCAGTGATCTTACGATCATTACACAATATCTGACAAGCTTCAAATCCTTCCAATTCTTCAGGAAAATTATCAACCTCACTGAAACAGATAAATAGATTTATTTTGTCTTAGTGTATAGATATGTTAGTTATTGAGTTTACTGACTCTGAATGGACATGGACTGATAATGTACAATAGGGTTGACTAAACTGTTTCTGATATTCATTAAAGATTTCAAATTTACGTCCTGTGGTCAGCTGTTCTATCAAGCCGATGGTTTGGCAATGGAAAGCTACCTTCGGATATTTCGCATCAACTTATTCCATCAAGCTGACAAGTAGGCATCTCGATGCAACGAACAGAATTATACCAAAGCTGATATTTTTATAGTTCGTAAGAGGAGACCACAAGCGAGAATACTGTACACGAAATTCACTTCACTTCATTTCAGTTTAATTTCAAAGTGTGAAATATTCCCATACCATGAATTAAAAGGTAATATGAACTAAGAATATTCTTTTCAGTAATTTCTCTTCAGTTTCTTACAATTACAAAATATGATATTAATGTCATTACAATAATGGCCAGTTATGCGGAGGATATATTTTCACGTAGAATAACAGATTAGTTATGTAGTGTACAAAATAAATAGTCGTATTTGTGTGACTAACTTGCTAGGCTGAAATCAACTAGAAAATATTGTGAAATGGATGACAATGGTGGTGATTAGTCGTAATAGGATTGTGGAGAATGGGGTAGGGAAATTGACAAGTCAATTCAAGGCTATGAAAGGTGTCAGGTGAGTGATTGGCTAGTATACGATAGTATGGATTAAGTAGGAGATAGTACGACGGGAGTGAAAAGTTGATCATGCCATAAATACTAATGTGTGTGATGGAACATGTGGAGGCATACACATACATATTGAGGAAGGAAGTAATATCACTCATACATGATAATTCCGAATAGCGTAAATGGGAAATTCAACAGAATAGACGAAGTGTTAGAATGAAGGGTATAAATTATATAAAATTATTATTATTATTATAGCAGATTATAATAAGCAACGCCAAAGAGAAAAATTAATAGAGAAAAGGGGAAAAGGCACTCTCGATGAGAGGAATCATTAATCCAGGTTTGACTACGGTAGAAATAGCATCGGGACGTGTTCTTTTTGGATTGAAAGTTCCAGTTTAGTCGATCTTACTGTAACAGCTTCGGCTATGTGTTGGAGACGTAGGCGAACTGTGCGTGGCAATCATTTCGGAATGTGTTATGTGACCCTGAAGGCAATATTGGCGTTGATGAGATGTGGATTATCGGACATGTGTGACTGAATCGAGCTTTTTACGAACTGAATTTTTCCCTTCCTTAAGGATGCTGGTAAATGTTCTCGAATCTATGGACGATCCTGACCAATCGTATGGCCTACTTAACTTGAACCAGAGGAACAGCTAGATATCCGTTCTCGGTTAGAATATCTTGGATGACCTGGAGTTCTTTATGTACACAGTCTTCGGAACCAGTGTACTTCGCTCCTTAAGCTGAGCACCTGATCAGATTACGTTATTATCTCATCTGTACGACGCTAAGGAAGTGTGTATATTGATCTTTGGTCGCCAGTTTGTAAATATGTTTTGGCATTCCATAACTAATCTGTTATTCGATGTTAAATATGCATCCGCGCATTACTGGTCATTATTGTAAGGTCCTGAAGAGAAATTATTGAAAAGAATATTCTTCGTTCAAACTAACTTTTAATTTAATTTCACATTAGTACATGAGGAAAATAATACTAACATATTTCTAGACATTCCTCTGTAGAAAAGGGTTGGTCGTTTTGCAGAGGGAACAGTATGTAGAGAAGGCTTATACACGGGATAGCATATAAAATTGAGAGATATTCTTTTAATCAGAATAAAAACAGTTTGATTATGACATCGTATAAAAGAACACCAAATATTTGTTTGTATAATACAGTTTAATATGGAATAATGACTTAAAAAATATTTCATATATTAATGCATATCCTGAGATGTTTATCAACAAGCATTTGAAAGTGATATGAGTCAAGAAAACTGTTTACACAGTTTCAGAAAAGCTTATACACAGTCGTCTGTCATTCAAAGAAGTTGATTTCAGAGAAGCAGTTCAGTGGAGGCCTAAAAATGCTCTAAATGAATCTATTGTCTCGTCACACTTGTATTCTACCAACTACTTATTACAACAGTACAAAAAAGAACGAATAGCAATTCTCAACACTGATAACTGTGTATGTTAAAGTGCAATGATGGAATCAACTGCATAGATGGTAGGAGAAGGCAACTATTTACTTGAGCAAAATTGACCAGAAGTTCAGTAATAAGGCATATTCAAGATTAGGAGAATGATTCAAATGCTGTCAACTTATTCATCCCAATCGGTGGAAAAGAACGGGCAGAAGGATACTCGCAGTCACAGAAACTTGTACGATTAAAGTCATTCAACCAGATAAAAGAATGGAAATGTTAGTCACTTTGAATCTACGTTATCATTTCCTTTCACTTTGTTAACGGTTAATACCACCATTTAACTTATTTACGATTACTTAGTTACAAATATTTTTTGCCAGCATCTTTAAAAGAACAACTTTTATACTTCTGTCTTATTTCCTCTTCTAAATCATTTCATTATTAATATTTCTCAACTAAGAATGTTTTATGCTGCTAAATTTCAGACACTGGTAACAAAATGTTTTTTATAGGGGTGTAACTAAAATGTAATGCATTAGACCCAGCTTATGCTTTTTAACTGTTTATTTCCCTGTAGTATTCATCCTGTCTCACACACGACTGACTACAACTTACACCCCTTAAAATCTGAAACTTTGCTGGTTTAAAAACACGTCATCCAACTAGTTTATCTGGTTTTATCTCAGTTTTCTTTTACTGACTGCACATTGTTTGACTGTTATTCCATCTTGCAACACAATACAATTTCTGACATGATTCCTGGCTACTTTATGCTAATAGTTGTAATCACCTGAAATTGTAGAGTCTGAATAACAATTTATTGAAGGCAGTTGTTCAGTCTAATTATTCGTTGTCTTGACAAGTATAGTTTCCAGTCTCTCATACCCTTCCACCCGCTATCTATCTGAACTTGACCTATCAAACATTCACTTTTAGTTTTGTTATGACTGATTCGTTTTTGGTTTGTTTGTCATTCACGTATCTTCCTCAATATTTCACTAAACTTAAAGCATTCAGCTGGTTACTTTCACCAAAACTTGATAAACTCATTAAATTCTGGCTTTTAACTTGTGTCCGGAAATGACTGTTTGCTAACTAGGATAAATTAAACAAAAACAGTTAAGTGATATCAAATGTTAACGGCTTGAATATTGTATCAAGACTCTTACAATATACTGTTGGTCAGAAAATGACACTGTCTATAGTGTTTCCACCTGGCTCTGATTTATTGTCAGCACAACTAAACCATTATCAATTATTTAAGTATTCTCATTATGATAATTAGAGGACGTGGTTTAGTTAAATACGCATCTCAAAGTTATTTCTAAACTAGCTTGATAGTTACACATGATAATTATTTAATACAGACCTCTGATACAACGGTGGCTTAATGGTCTGGGTGCTCACCTTGTAGCCAGAAGGTCCTGAGTTCGAACCCCGGGTGGGTGCGTACTGTGAAGAGTCCCAAACTGGAGCGAAACAGCTCTCCAGTACTCTCAGATTTTCCAAAAGTTTTCTAACCAATGTCAGCTCATGATGAAATTCTGTAACCAGTCAATCAAATCCCTACAAAACAATACTTGAAAATCTATCTTAGTGAGAAGATAACAATCAACCTTCATGGCCAGAAATTAAAATGTTTTGTTATTGAAATTGCGCACTTTGCGCAAAACTTTTAAATTACCTCTATGTAACTGAACCATATATGCTCCCCTTTCCCGCATAGATTTACGTAAATTTTCCCATAACGCCATTAAATTGCCCAAAGCTTCACTGAGTTGATCTGCAATTCGCGGGTACTGAACAATAGTGTTGACCACAGCCTGATGATTGCAAAATGACATGGAACACAGATACAATCAGAAAATAAGGATACATGATAGCTGAGTAAGTCGATGTGAAGTTTATGCACTGTAGGAACTTCAGTGTATTATGAATTAAAAATTTGACACTGACGCCTTAAACCCGTCAACACAAATTTTGAAACTGGCAAGTATACGAAAGACTAACGGCAAACGAAATGAAATGAATTTATCTCACAAGCCACCTTCCGTTATTACTTTCTTATGGAATATTATGAATTACTTAAATTCAACGAATTCTTGTCTATGATAAAAAATTTCATTTTGGACAACATTTCTGACAAACCCGACACTCATTATTAAATCAGCTGTTTGAATTTCATTATAACATCCATCATTTTTTTTTATATTGGCGTTCAGATAATTCAACAGTCATTATCGGATCAATCTGTTTTTCATGTTTGGTAAACGGTTTTCCTCCTATGATTCCTCCCGATCACCTTTGATGTGAATGTGTGTTGTAAAACTACTCCTGAAAGTTAAATAATTTTGGATTAAAAAAAGTAACGATTAAAGCACTTTTTCCAGCATCATTATAATATTATTATTTCTTTAGGGTCCGAGTGGAACTGTAGGGCTTCAGGAGAACACTCCAATTTCATCCTGTCCTCTGAAGTATATTTTAGCTCGCCCCACAGTTACCTATAAGCTTTCACCTCCTCCTCATAGAGTCTCCGCATGTCACTGTCGGAAGCTCAAATAATCGTTTTCCATTCAGGTTCCATTTGAGGTCCATCCTAGTGTGTGATTTCACCCAACTGTCCCTTCAGACTGTGCCCAATCCATCTCCATTTGCATATTTGTTGGGCAATAGTTTCTCGGTTTATTCATTAGCAGAGTTCTTTGCTGCTTATCCCTTCTGGCCACTTGATCTTCGACATCGAGTGAAGGCAGCTGTTGATAGTAGTCTCCAATCTGTTGGAAATACCGTGTTCAGACGCGCCTTCCGAACCTTATAAGAGAAATGACTTAAAATTTGTCTTGAAAATCCGGATTTTCTCCTTATGCCGAGTTCAAAAAATTTCCAAACTGGTTTGAGAGTCATGAGCGCCTGCCTTGCCTTTCTGATCCTGGCTTTGACATCTTTATCCCTTCCGCCTATGCTGCCAAAATAAGTGAAATAAGCAACCTCGTTAAAATTTATTCCATTGACAGTGATTAGTGCTTCTTGCTGTTAGTCGTAGGCCATATTTCTATACGTCCTCTTGAAGTCCTTTCTGGCGCCTCTTCTGCCAACTTGTTGGTTTTTACTTGTAGATTTTCGAGTTTGTTTGACACTAGACATAAATAATCCGCGGAATCTAGACCTTCTAGAGTCTTCTTATCAGTTCAAAATATGCCTCTTTTTTCTCTCCCTACGGTGTGCCACATGATACATTTCACCACAATCACCAATATCATCCGTTACAGTAGGCAGTCTTGTTTGAATACTGTGACTGATAGCAATGCTTATTTATTGGGAGGTATACAAGTAATGGCTACTTCTTTAGAAACCAAGAAATTACAGACTCATAGAATATCATGAAAGCGTTGTGGTCAGATTTTCCTTATCATACACCTTGTGTTGCAAGCTTGAACTATCACAGAAGTATTAGCGTCTTTTTAAAAATCTACAGACTTATTTTGCTAATAAGTAATAAGTTTTCTGTCATTTAGAAGTTACCTGTTCCCTAACATCTGAATTTTCGGGTACATCTTACTCAACATACATATTTTTCGTATTAGATGGTTGGAGGCGATCGGCAGGAAGCCTTGGACCTAGGTTTCGTGCTAGTTGGGACTCGTCAGTAAGACGTACCTGCAGCCTCGAAGGGAACTCATGTCCCTTCTGAGATTCAAACCCGCGACACCCAGTGTTGCAGTCAGAGACGTTACAAATGAGCTATTTAGGCTCGTGACTGACCTCCTGTAGGATATTTTTGATAGGACACTAGCCAGAAACAAGTGTAATGTGACTAGTCCTATCTTCTATGCAGACTGAATTCTATCAGTCAAGCTTGCAATGTGGCCACCATTCTAGGTGACTCGCCATCATGGTGCTGATCGCCTCCAACCATCTCATACCAACAATTCACAGTGCACCGCAATGGCGAGTCAACTAGAATGGTGGTCAAATTGCAAGCTTGACTGATAGAATTCAGTCTGCATCGAAGATAGGACTAGACACATTACACAGGTTAATGACTAGTGTACAATCAAAAATGTATTTATTTTTGCTAGTAACACTGATTATATGTTGCATAAACAAGTTCACCATTTTCACAATCAGGAGGCATAAATTGAACTAGTCGCTACTTTTAACCGTTAATCCTTTTAAGGATCTTTTTAAAGTGCTATTGATTATTCAGTGCTTTGGATGAAATACAACCATTTACATGGATAAACCCACATAGAATGTATCCCTGAGTACACAAAAAAAATAATAGACATGTTTAGTTTCCCGAAAGATGAAGACAGTAAAAAGTTGTATGAATACTGACTTGATGTTTCAGTAAAAACAATGTCTTCTAAGATATTCCAACCTTTCTCTTTTGTGAATGCATTTGTAAGTAAGCAAGCGTAATGCTTGAATATCATATATACAAACTACCAAGCTTTGACAGTACAATGACTATTTAAAAACACCTCATTGACACTTGGTTGTAATGAAAGTTCCTGAAAAACGATTCCTGTCCAAATTACCTGGAAAACTTGTTTAACACGTTCATTATTGAATTCAAGTTCATTTTCCATTTGGCGATGCTGAGCATACTGTCTGCTTACAAATACTCTGTATGGGATTAAAGAGTCTTTTTTCGATAAAACACCAGTTTCATCCCACTCTTCAGTGATTTCTTTCTTTTCAGTTAGCCATTCTTGCAGCTGAAAATAATATAAAACAGTGTGGCGAAAATAACAATAACTCATGCCCTTAAAATGACAATAAGAACAATAAGCAACAACTAAATAAACACCATAACCTCAACTGGATTACTAGCTCGCTATCATGATGTCGTCAACAGCAGCCAATGCTCTCATGCAGTGGGAACCAATCTTCTCCAGGATAATGACAGCTAGGTTCAACTCAAAAAGAAGGAAAGTTACAGTCATTCAATGCTATGCGCCTACAAACGTCTCGGAACAAGAAAAGAAGGAGGCGTTCTACAGACAACTACAAACAGTATTTGACAACGTCCCAAATGACGATATCAAAATCCTGATGGGCGACATGAATGCGAAGCTGGGAGGAGACAACACAGGAAGAGAACTCACCATGGGACGTGAGGCCCTCGTTGGAATGAACGATAATGGCGAACTCTTCTCAGACTTCTGCGGCTTCAATGATTTGGTGATTGGTGGTAGTGTGTTCAAAAATAAGGATATACACAAGGCGACATGGATTTCACCAGATGGGCACACCAAAGACCAAACAGACTTCATCTCAATTTCAAGAAAGTGGAGACAGAGCCTACTGGACACAAGGTTGAGGAGAGGAGCAAATGTGGGTTCAGACCACTTCCTAGTACAAGGGACATTCAAGGTGAAGCTTAAAGCCTCGAGGATAGCTGGGAATAGGCCACAATGCAAGTTCAACACTCAAAAACTGAAGGACACAACTACGAAGGACACTTTCATTGCAACTGTCAGAGCGAAGCATGAAACACTACGTGACATCACGGAAGAATCATGCGTGGAAGACCACTGGAACTAACTCTCCGAAGGTGATTTTCGACGAAACGTGTTCAACGGTTCTAGGAAGAAAGAAGAGACAAGACAACGAATGGCTCTCAATGGACACTTGAAAGCTAATAGAGGAGAGGAGAATTGTGGAAGAGAAAATGATTCAATGGAAAGATGGGCAAGAGAAAGAGATGCTGAGCTCAACGTACATAGCGCTGAACAAACAAGTGAAGAATAGTGCTAGGAAGGACAGAAGACAAGCCTACGACAACCTGGCCACTGAAGCTGAAAAGGCAGCAGGCAAAAGGGACCTGAGGACACTATACCAGATGACCAAATCTCTATCTGGGAAGAGACCAACACAAGCGAAACCTATGAAAGACAGCCACGGGAACCCAATTACCAAGGAAGAAAGACAGATTAAACAATGAGCGAATCACTTCAAAGGACTCTTGAACCGACCATCACCTGCAACCCGTCCAGAAATACCAACGACACCACGTACACAACTGCGAGTTGACACCAATCCTCCAACGCGAGCTGAAGTCTTGAATGCAGTCAAGCTTCTGAAGGCTGGAAAAGGAGCTGGACCAGATGGAATCCCCCTTGAAGCACTGAAAGCGGACCCAGAGACGAAAGCGGATATGCTGACTCTATTATTGCAAAAGGTCTGAAATGAGGGAAAGGTGCCTACTGACTGGAGGAAAGGTTACCTTGTGAAACTACCAAAGAAGGGCGACCTAGGCCTCACTCTGCAAGAACTGGCGAGGAATCATGCTCCTGTTGACGCCAAGTAAAATCCTGAGTCACATCACCCTGGAGAGAATAAGGGACTCACTAGATACAGATTTCCGACCAGAACAAGCTGGATTCAGGAAAGGCGAATCATGTTCTGACCAAATCGCAACTCTGAGCATCATCATCATCGAACAAGACATGGAATGGCAATCAAACCTTTACCTTAATTTGATAGACTTTGAAACAGCGTTGACTGCGAGTATTTTGGAAACTACTCGAGTAGTACGGTGTACCCCAGATATTCATCAACCTCATTCAACAGCTGAACGAAAACGGAACATATCAAGTGATCCACAACGGAAAACTCAGCGAGGCGTTTGGAGTAAACACAGGAGTCAGACAAGGGTGCTTACTATCACCCACGATGATATTCCTAATTGTGGTGGACTGGATTATGCGCCAGACAGTGAGTGAGAACGAGAAGACAGAGAGGGATATCCTGGACCGACTGGCGTGAAGAACCTAGAAGACCTGGATTTCGCGCGTGGATGATTTACGTTTGATGTCACACAAAGCCGAAGACTTACAAGCGAAAACCGACAAACTGGTCGGAGAAGTAGTCGGCGAAGATAGGGCTCCAGGTGAACATAGACAAGACTGAGGTTATGAAAATAACCAGCCAACAGCAACAATAACAGCAGCAGCAACATCCAGCGCCAATCATCATCAATGGGAGGGATTTGAAAGAGGTTACTTCATTCACTTATCTAGGGAGGGAGCATTGTCTCAACTACAGGCAGTCGGAACAGACGAGGATGTCAAATCGAGCGAGAATCGGGAAGGCGAGAAACACATTCACTCATCAACCTGAAACCAATCTGGAAATCCTCGTCACTCAGCAACAACAACAACAAAATTCGGTAGGATTTCCAATAAAAACGTCAAGTTAGTTTTTCTGTATAGAACGGATGAGAAACTTGGCAGGCAGGTCACAATGAATATTTCCAACAGCCTGTTGCAGACGTTACGTCTTCGCTGGCTCTATACTGAAGATCGGATGGCCGGGCCGGAAAGAATCACCAACAAGAAACTTTGGGAAGGAACAAACAAAACACGAACCAATCGCCCAACAAATATGCAGGAGAAAGTAGATTGAGATGGATTGGACACTCGCTGAGGAGGGCGCTGGGTGACATCGCGCCTCAGGCCATTGCTCTAGTGGAACCCGGCCGAAAGGGAAGCGGCGTGTGGGATGTCCAAGGGTGACATGGAGAAGATCGTGTGAAGAGGAGTTGAAACAGTATGGACTGACATGGATGCAGATAAATAGTACAGCAGAAGACAGAAGCAAGTTAAGACGTGCAGTTGAAGTCCTATGTTCCACTAGGAACGCAAGGGAACAATAATATAACAATGACAATAAGTAAACATCATGGTGAAATGAAGTAGAATCATAAAATCTAATAACATGCTACCAGTGCTAGATTTCATGCTTCTGGTGTCTTGTACAAAATTAAATTTCCCACATGATATGTTAGTGAAAAATAACGATTGCAAAAAAAATTGGAGATTGGAATAACAGTTCGTAAGTTATCAATGAGTACATCTCTAAATGAGCATGGTTTCCTTTCAACTAAATCCCGGTATCTGAAATTACTTAGTCTCTCCATTTTGTGCTTCAAACATCCAGTTCGCTAATTTCTCCCTACCTTATTAAGTGTTTCTTAAAATCATCTCAGAGTTTCTCTTAATTTTTATTTTAACTCTAGAAATATATTTATTTGTTGATTGAGACAACTAGGTTTATTAATAAGTGAATGACAGTATCATCTCAGTTGAGTTCGACAGCCCAACATTTTCATGGCGAAACATAATAGCCGATTATAAACTGTTATAATCATCCTCATCACAATCACCATTTTAATTAGACTAACCACGCATCGTAGTAAGCTGAAAGGAAAAGTGAGCAGAAATCAAGCACAAACACAAAACAAAACAAAAAAAAACTAATGAAGACCAAGCTGTCCAATGAAACAATAGACTGAATGAAATTCTATTTGCTTTTATCTCTAGTTCTACAGATTTGACTAGGCATAAATAACATCAACAGGCAAATCTGATCCTTATCGTCTATCTGAGGTAAAACTGCGTTTCAGTTGTCTCTATTCAGTCAGACACGTGAATGAATTCATTCAAAAACAAAATTCAGTTATTCACGACAAAATAAGACGATAAACCAACAGGATAAAGAAAATAAGAATTATTAAATAGCAGTAAAGATAACACGCTTCCTCTATTTTTTCTTTTTGTCTTCTCTCAGTGTGACCGTAAAAGTTTCTAATTTGTAGGAAATATTTGACAGTTTAATTTATTTATCTGAGATATACGATTATTTTCTTCAAATCCTTTTCTAATTTCACCGATCTTGAGTCCATGTTTCTGTATGTATACGTGTGTGTGTATGAACACATTTGTGTTTGCTGGGATGTTTTGTTCAACTCCCTGTCCTTGTTAAACACCATGATCAGTGAAGAATGATGAAATGAATTTGAATAAATCATAGATATCCACCACATCATAATATATTTGTTTAAAACGAAAGCCGAATTTATTGGACACACTTTAATTCTATTATATAAATCATTCGGTGAAATACAGGTCATCAGTTAGTTACATTGTGTCTACACGTACACATAAGCACAAACACACGTCATTATATTCGCTTAATATGGCCGGGGGGTGGCGTGAGAAACTGTTTCTCTTCTACCGGTTGTATCTATTATCCGAGCGTAACGATGACTTATAAAAGTTGGCTAATTCCCAATTCGGGGGGAGAAACCCAACTGTATTTTCTCCTCCTCACCTGATCCCAAAACGTTTGTCGGAAATAGTTGTAGGTGAATTGAAAAAGCCTTCTGATTAATTACCTGTTCTCGAATTCAGTAAAAAATCTATATATTCCTGAAAACAAAAATGAACTGACGTATAAGGAATACAAAAAAATGTAAACGTTTATCCAGAGGGTGAAATATTTCACGAAAACAGAATGTACAATAACACTGGAATTAATGCAGTCATCTTAGTGAGGTTGTGTGTCTGGTCAGCAATCAAACCACTTTATAACAAAAAAATAATGGACCATAAACCCTTTTGATTTACCTATTAAAATTCAAGGTTTGAATTTATGCAGACACACCGTTTTTGTTCATTAAAATCTTTAAACTGTGAAATGAAGGCAACCTAGATTACCTTAAACTTTGACTTCTGTGGGTAGATTTTCATTTATATTTAAAAACCTATAGAAAAATGATTGAATGATATGCTGTCCATGAAATCACAAAAGTTAAGAAAAAACTGATTAGTAAATTTTTTAACTATCAGTTTGTCTTCACTGATGCAGAAGACCGAGCTTAGAAAATATATCTCACACCATAGTAACAGTTTTGATGAACATTTGAGACAACATATCCACATCACCATAAAATGATGAATTTCAATGAACAGTCTGGTCCTACAAGAGGAGATTCATGGCTTGAACAACATATTTGCAATTGAACTGGGTTCGCAGGTTTGAACTGTGAAAGGAGCTCAAATCCTCCCAAAAACTGAACATACACCTTTCACTTTCGTGTAGATAAGAGTGAAATTTAAGTCATATGTAACATCCTGTCTATTGAACCTCAGGATCTAATGTTAAGAGCCTAAAACTGGCAACAAAGACGTATTAATTTTAATGGGATGGTACTAAATTGTGATTCAGTTAATTGTTACCAGTCAAAACTAATCAAGGATGGTTCTCATTCAGTTAAGGCTCTCGTCGGATGATCTTCTAAAACTCAGAAATTAATTTAAATTTAGACCACGGGTTGATATCAGTAAGAGAATCATTGAAAACGAAGGATAACTGGACACCTGTTTCACCCTAGTTTACGAATTATCAGCACTACGCACCCACTGGAATACCAAACACAGGTGCTTCCCGTCACAAGGCAAGCTCGTATACCATTTAGCCACTGGGACCCGATTCAATGGCCAACCCATGAATTCTAACTTCTATCAATTCGTGATTTAGCGCGACCACCAACCAATGTCATCGGTGGGACATCCATCCTCACACTTCACTGGATGGACCCCGCTAATCACGACTGTATCCAGTCACTAGTGAGCATCAGATTAGCTTTTAAAAATTGGCTTTTGTAGAGATTCTATTTGCTTCAGGTTAGACAACGGGTTGAATAAAAATGGTGACTTTCCAGTTGATTTCTTCTCGTACCGTCTTTTTTTAACGGACTAATTACTTCTCACAGTTTCTACTGGGAGCAGGTGGTAAACGACAACTTATGGAGTCAGTCAAGTTTTCTACTGGGACAGCTTTAAAATAACAGCATTGGTTATTTTTGACTTCGTTATACTGCCGACTACCAGGAGTTGAAAAGCATGTACTGCTGAATTATGAGTGAATAGAAAAAAGCTTGCTATAATGTCTGATAGCAGCTGCCTGGACTCCCAGGGTCACTGCAGAGGTATAACGTTTGAAAACTAAAACGTGGGTTTTTAAAAATTCCGAATTCTTTATAATCTTCTTAAGAAAGTCGGAGCACGTGTCAAAAATGTCTTCGGCTACTCAGATGAATAGGACTCACCGTTTGATAGTATAATTATAAAAAGCTGTACATTTTTATTAAGTTTTTGTACGTCCTTATTGAACTTACAATTTGAATTTGTTGAAGTTCTTCACGAAGAGCTATCATGTCTTTAGTTGAATCCACTTGCTCACGAGCCTCATTGAGCAGTTTGGTATACCTATGGTAGAAAAAATATCAGAAAAGGTATTTTTTCAAATAATAGAAATCAATTTTATCTGATTATATCATATTCAAATGAACCGCATTTCTTGACTGTGAACATGTAAGGTGTGAGAATTCCTTATCAAGTACAATTTATTGCTCATAATCATTTCTATGTATTCACACAGCTTCATAATATGCCCCGTATATTTTTTCTCTTCTCGATGTTATTAATTACAGTTCTGCATATATCCAGTATGTGCGTCGGTGGTATAGCGGTTAGGACGCTCGCCAACCATGCACATGGTCCGGGGTTCGATCCCCGGCCGCCGACGCACTTCTTTGCCTCGCTAAGCCGGAAATAATGCTGGTAAAGAGGAAAGGTTGGGAATGAGGCTAGCAACCCCATCCTGTAAAATAAAAGCTGCTACAGAAACTTCAAGCCACTAGCTTGAGGCCCTATGTTCCACTGGAAACGTGAAGGAAAAAATATATATAAATCCTGTATAGGCGTTGCATGTATTTGATGATGACTGTATAACCAAAAATTCCATGATTAACTTCCCTCTCCACCAACTATACTACTTTTTTATACGTACACCATATCTCATACAATTATGTGATCACATGCAAGTGGATGAATTCCAATGGTTAAGACATTTATCAGATTATATATGTAAATGTAAGAAAATACATTCATATATATATATATATATATATATATATATATATATATATATATATATATATATAATGTTAGACAGTTTGAAAATACTGAATCGAGCACTTTGATTATGCTTCTTCTGAAAAATGATCACTCTGCTTATACTAAACAATGATTTTGAATTCGAAGTATGTTTACAGTTTTATCTGAACATGCAGCAGTTGATTTTCACTTCTCCCACATCTAATTCTGAGCATTTACAAAAGAAATTACAACCGAAATTTTATCTACATAGACGGCAGTTTTCAGTATTCAGGATAAGTAATTTTTTAACGTGTAAACGACCTCAAAGGATTAACGCTAGCTACTCAAGAATATTTTGTTTTCAGAATTATCACTTTATTTTACATAAAACCTGTCCGTTAATTAAATTCATTTAATTTTTTTTTCGACTTTTCGAAATGAAGCAAGATCACAGCTTTAGTCTGTGCTTTAGTCCCCCCCCCTCCAAAAAAAATGATGCAATGGCAATATTATCCAGATAAATCTTAAAACAAAAGTAGGCAAATTTCAAATGTTCACATTAGCAAAGCCAAATGAATCATGGGAATGATTGAATTAACTCTTGTCAACACTCGCATATCGATACATAGCAGGTAATAAGTGAGTTTCTTCGAGATATCATCAGACAGCCACTTACATAAGGAGCGTGCTGTAGGGTTATCTACATTGTTTTAATATTGCTGTAGAAATTCGTTTTTCTTTATGTTATCCGGAATCTTTCCTTGTGTATTATTATTCCTATTTACCATGTTAAGAATAACAGTAAATTACAAAGCAGGACCTTCGTTTACAGGAAATTATATGCAATTATAATATCATTTAGGTGAAAAACTTGATCTCTTTCCACATCTTTTGTTGGTGTAATTATTTTTTTTTTACTGAAGTGTCAAGTTAACCTATGGAATGTATACAAAACAACAATTCATTATTGTCTTATTATTCACTGTGCAAAACATCTTTCATTCTTTAACTGTTTAACTCTTTGTAAGTTGTATAAATTGTAGAATTCTTGTGATTTACTTGGTGGAGTGTGAAAGTGATAGAGATGACACAAGTAGAACTTATTATCCCTAGTAAAATACTGAGTGGCGTCATCCTATAGAGACTAAACATCGTATTGAATGTAGAACTCCTACCACAGCAAGCCGGATTCAGCAAAAAGAAATTGTGTGCGGATCACGTTGCAACTACACGCCTCATCATCGAACACACCACAGAATGGTATTCAAACATCTAACTCGACTTCATCGATTTTAAAGAGGCCTCCAACGGCGTTGAACGGGAAGTAATTTGGAAGCTACTTCAATACTACAGCTTGTAGTGCCCAAATTTCTATTAACCTCATTCAGCAGCTATATAACAATGCCATTTGTCAAGTGACACAAAACGGTAAGCTCACTGAAGCCTTCGAAGTGAAGAGAAGATTAAGATAAAGCTACCTATTACCGCCACTGATATTCCTAATTTTGATGGACTGGGTTATGCAACGAGCTATGGTGAGCGAGAAGATAGAAATAGGTTAAACCAATACGAAGACTCTAGGATATCTGGACTCCGCGGATTATTTATTTCTAATGTCATATACACTCGAATACTTACAGGCGAAAACCACTAAGCTGACAGAAGAAGCAGCAAGGACAGGACTTCAGGTGAACATAGAGAGGACAAACGTGATGAATATAACAAACCAACAAAACGCAGCAGTCACCACCAACAGGTGAAATCAATTTTCCAGCTTGCCCAGGCAGCATCGCTTGAGTTACACGTGGCACGGATGATGTCAGACCCAGGTTGAGAAAGGCAATGAAGACCTCCAGTACTCTGAAATCGGCCTGGGAAACTACTTCACTTGACATAAAGTAAAAGATTCAGATTTTCAACACTAATGAAAAGTCGGAACCTGTTGCTCAACAAATATTCTGAATAAATGTAATTGGACCGGATGTCCGCTAAGGAGACCATCGGGTGACGCCCAGCGCCAGGCCATCGTGGAGCCAGCCAAAGAGGACCTTAGAGAACATTACAAAGTGGAGATGCACTGTTAAAGCCCTGTGTTCCAATTTGAACACAAAAGAAAAATAATCAATTGAACAAGTAGCATGACATGGTGAGCAGACAGGATAAATGTACAACAGACAAATTGACATATATCATCAAAATAAACAAGGATTTATCTCAAATTCAACAATCATAAATTTTAGTGCTGACTTTAAAATGAATTAGGAGATTTATTTTATTTATTTTTTATTTTATTTTATTTATTTTTTATTTTTGATTACAGCTTGATTCCACACCGTATTTCTGGGACAAGTGTGGAATTTTCAGCGTGGATATCGGTAGCCCAAAATTCGCAGGCCGACCGTAGATATCAGGTGTGCGTCGGCGTGGGCTCAAATCCCGGATCATGTGCATCTAAGAGTATCCCTAAATTCTCAGAAGTCTGATATCCTATAGAAATACATTTGAATATTACTGACTTTGCTTCCATTACAAAGCGGATTTCTAATGATTGCTCATCACCAGGCAATAACCACGTAACTGTTCCCGCCCGGAATACTGGCCGAAGCGTATCGAATATGTGCTTAACTTGGATAGCAGAGTGAGCAGACCAGCGTTCTTGTGTACTGAGATTTACATTTCCCAACGTTAAATGTTGAAGGTCAGTTGCTGCGTAGTGAATTCAACATATCTTTCGTATTAACGAGATATTTTCAGTTTTAAGTAAATCCATTTCCTCAACCTGTAAGTATATACTTGAGAAGCTAGAATACTAAGCAATAAAGTTGTTGAAAGATATAACAATCAGCAGTAAAAACGTCTTGACGAATGCCTCCGAATGACTTCTAAGATACCAACACAAATTGAAGCGATTTTTAATGTCCAAAATAGAAATAGCATTGCAGACTGAGAAGTGAAATGTTCCCTTATAGTGTGAAGTTACATTTTAGTCTTTTTGTCTTAACAGAAATATGGCATAGAGTTTAACAAGCATGGTATAATGAAACTCTGTTTATTTACAGGAATGTTTCAAATTAAGCTTACAGTATAAGTAAGCCGAGCATATAACACACTGGAACAGAAAAATATCCATTCCTCATAAGTTTAAAACTCAGGATAGAAATAATCAGTGATTGCAAAATATGAAAACTTTGTAAATATGCCCATCTAACTAAATACTCCCTATTTCAAGTATCACTCTAAGGTATACAAACTTTTAGGAGCTTTGATAATTCCCTACAAACATCCACTTCAATCAATCTCTGTTAGTATTGATTACATATTATGATCACTTGACACAAATAACAGCTGTTTCGAAAAATAAAAACAATTTTATGATAATATGATGCTGACTGAAGTTACAAAGAGAATACCGAAACGACTATAGTAGCATTTGAACCTATGTGATATTCCTGCATTCTGGCTTAGAGAACCCGTATGATGTCAGCATCAGTGAGAGTTTAGTCCAGCTGTTTCATAGATAAATAATAAATAAGTGATTGTTTGCCATCAATCAGTAAACCATTTTTCTAAGTAGATTTACTCACTTAAGCTATTCTATGCAAAAACATTTCTTTGTCTGTGTGATGGAAAACTGGAGTTTGTACCGCCTAAGTAAACTTAAAACATCCACCAGTGTCATGGTATGACCTACTACAAGTCCACAGTTAGGATCACAATAAACGATGGTAATAAGATATTTTCTGTGAACACCCATTGTAAGTGTAGTAATCATACGATTTTGGCGACCTGATCACACACTAAAGCACTGGAAATAGACATGGAGATGAATATGACGAAAGGATACATAAACATACTCAAGAAGTAAAAAAAAAACAAGAAAACAAACCTTTCAATCTTCTTCCCCTGGCTCTACAAATTAAGCGCATTAGTTAATCGAAAAATAATACTGAACAAAAGGAGAAAATAACTGCTTTTTTATTTCACTACATAATTTTCAATTGCAATCACTGTCATAAACATACACACACTTTGCGATAAATAAACATAAGATCAAAAACTAAAGACAGCACTAATAAATGAAAGCGGGTAAGTAGTTTACAAGGGTGTTCAGATAAATAAAATTGAACAAGTCAAAGTTTAATAGTATACACGATTCGCCTCAATAAGGCAGCCGCTGAAAAGATTGTTAACAAAATCAAAAGAAACACCACTGTTTAAAAAATAGAAAAAAGAACGAGTAGAATAATGAGAGCTGAACATAACTGAATCACTGTCCCTGAGTTTTATTGGGTGGTTTTTCCTCCTATTCATTGAATTAAGGGCTTCTAATCAAAATAACCTGAAAACCACCTTCATTTATTATGCTACCGTGAAAGTGCATGACACAGTCAAGTATACAGACCAAAATGAATTACCAGTAGTTCTGATAAACGGAAAAATAGTCAATCGAAAAATAAGGTTTCACCTAGGTTGTGAAAAGTGCTGAAACAGTTGAAGTCAGTTTAGCGCAATTCATGAAAGGACGGAAAGCATACAGAAGAAGTAGAACCAAGAATTGGAGAAATCACAAAATCGGTATATATATATATATCCCAAAGAATAACTGTTTCCAAGATTGTTTGTTAACTAAGCTATTACAGTGGTTCGGGGGTAGAGTGTTCGCCATGTGATCCGAGGTTCATTCCCCAGCTGACGCACTTCTAAACCTCGATTAGTCTCTGGTAAGGCAGGCAAAGGGGAAGGTTGAGTGTGAGGATAGCAACCACGTCCCGCAAAAAAATCAACACTAATGCCAACGAAACTTCAAAGCTGAAGCTTGAAGCCCTGAATGCTCCACTCAGAGCTCAAAGGAATAAGATATAAAGAAGGTAAATAACATTACTCCAGAAGTTTGCACAGCGTTGATAAAGAATAACGTTTAAATTATAGAACTTGGTGACAAGCAAAGAATTTCATTTCAGTTAAAAATTGTATGTTGTCAACCATAAATTTTTTAACGGCAAAGAAACTTAGTGTGTTTAGAAATGTGAAGGTCTTTAAGTGAAACGAAATAGTGGAAGTAGTACAAACACCCCAAGTTATTTGAGCCCACTTATACAGGATCTACTATCTAGGGTGTTGCATTCCTAGTGCTCTTTAGAACTTTATGCGGGTCTTATCAAAACGTGTTAGAGAACATCATCCAGCATGGCTGCAAAGAGGAGGCACTGGTTCAATCAGAAGCGCAATAACTGAACATCTCGTCAATACTGTCACAGAATCTCAACTGACTCATTATTTAGGGTCATTTACAAAGTAAACAAAAATCTATTAAAGGCAGTGTGTCTCCGACGTCTTTGTACTGCGGAAGCTCTCGCCATATGCATCTAAAAGCCGGAGGTATGAGTTTTTTTGTTGTTTTGTTTTCTGTGTTTGTGATTTTCTCTCTTTGCCTTCATTCAATTCATCCTACTTTTTCAGTTATAAAATCAGATATTTTAGGTTTGTTTCCATGCTCCTCCTGATAACACCTGTAATCCGTCTAGAATAACCATTTTACAATTATATTCTAATCCTGTGTAATTTTTTGTTTCTATGCCACTTGTAACCTATATTCACACCTCCTAACTTACATTTCAAGTTCAAAATTCTGATTTCAATTTGTTTCCATGCTTATTTTGTTCACCCCAGTAATGCGTTCTATCCCTGCGTAGTTCTTGTTTCTAAGCCTCTTGTAATTCATATCAAGTTGAAAATAATTGTCACCTTTAAAATCATTTCTCCAGTTACCAAATACTAATTTCGCATACGTTGTAACTGTTTTCTAATCCTATGCAATCTTGTCTCTAAGCCCCTTGTAGTCTATATTCGTAGCTTCAAAGTTTTATATCAAGTCGAGAATTCTTATCACCTTCGTTACTATGTGGAATTAGACAAATAATAATTGTATCCATGTAAATTAATGTATATAAATACGATTGTACAGCTGTTGAGAATGAAATTGTCGAAAAGATATCTTTCCTGAACTTCTTGTTCTTTTCAATCGAATATCAATTTCTTAAATTTAGAGAATTCATCACTTATTTAAGCACATGAGTGAAATGATTTACCAGTAGTGCTATTGTGCGGTAGAATAAAGTCTAAAAGATCTATTAAATAAATTGCTAGGATAACTGACAGGCATGTGTTATCAAACTCAGGGTGCAGAAGATTACTCAGAAGTAACTAACCAATTGAAAACAAATCACAATTCAGTGACAGAAATGAATTACTCATGACAGCAAGACTTCATTTCCTATCACATGAAATTTGAAAAAAGAACCCAAGACAAAAGCTCTTGTCAATTCAAAATGCAGTAACACTGTATCTGAGCATATATGTACTGAATATCTCCTTAGGTGCAGAGAAATATTTACCTGCTTTCAATTTGTAAGTGCAGGTAGATTCACTTGACTTGGTCCACCTGATAATCAGATACTTTTAATGGGAGAGAACCAAACTATCCCCATTCCCTTTATAAGAGACAAGTCATCTCTGCTATTGCATAAAATTATACTGACATACTTGCAGCTAGCCTTAATCTCAACTCAAACACTTAGTTATTAGAATGTCGCTGTGGTATATGAGGAACCTATCTCTATGATTGTCCATCTGTCACTGCAATAAGTGAATGAGTTTGTTCGAGTTCTCCAGTGTCTCATTTGCTTATAAGCAACAGTAGTTTTGTTTTCTGTCGTCCGCTAAAAGATAGTCACTGATCGTTCAGTTAGATGAATAATGGAAAATGAAAAATAAATAATATTATTAGTGTAATGTAAAACATAACTAACCTATTTTTCATGAAAAAGATTTTATTTTGTATCTTATCCATTGAATATACTCGTTCAAAGACTAATTGATTCCCTGTGTCGCATAAATAATTCAATGTCTCTTCAGCTTTAATTAAACACTGGACAATTTCATTTTGTGGTTCCAAAGATGAAAGTATTGTTGTTGTATCCTTTTGTTTCTGTTTTTACAAAAAAAGAAAGCTTGAACTGAATAAAAGGGAACAGATTGATAAAAACAAACATACTGAAATTAGACGGAAATCAGTTAATTGAACGAACTACTTTTCAACCTATAAACATCCCTGTGCAGTAATCATGTTTCTTTTTGATTTTCTTTGTTCAAAGTGGAGAGACTAAATGTTCGGTTGGAGTCTCAGCTAACGCTGTATTAGCCTGCTAAATGTAGAAAACATCAGCCGACGATTATCTAAGGTACTGCTTACAACCATTGTTAATATTCCCTTGGGTTCAGAGTGAAACATGAGGCTTACACAGCACATCTCCATTTTGTCCTGTTCTCTGCCATCTTCCACAGCTGGTGTGTCGACTGCTCATGAGCTCTCATCTCCTCCTCAAACTATCTCCTTCAGGTACAACTCGTCGCTTCCTTCTCAAGTTCCAGTCGAAGGCCTGGCACACGATGCAAGCTAGCATTTCCTCAACGTATGTCCTATCCATCTCCATTTTCTGGGCATATTTGTTTACTAGTTCGCGAGTTTCCAGCTGTTTCTATGCCCGTGAAACGATGAAAGGTTAGGCGTGGGGCTAGTGACCCTACTGTGGAAAATCTATCCAATCACTAACGAGACTTCAAAGCACTAAAAAATAATATTACCACCACAAGAAAAATCAATTTAGATAGATACTACCAGCATTCACAAAACTGATGGTCTGTTTAACGTAACAAAATGCTGAACACTAGCATGATTAGACAGCTGCATGTTGACAAAACCAAAGATTTAGTGTGAGCTTCACGTATAGTATAACAAACGAAACGTTTTGATAGAGATTTAGTAAATATCAGTGGAAGATTTTATTATACAATATTACTTGATGCACACTGTAGTATATATATATATAATTCAATGTATCATTAGCATTAAACTGAAAAATGTGAACTCTTAGAAACATCTGGTAACTAGTTTACTAAATTCTTCCGACGACTCTAAGTTACAGCCCTATACCATGTAAGTTGCTTTGTCATTTCTCTTCAAAAGTTGTTCTAATAGTCGTTTTACTGCCTTTATGTTTTTTGTCTACAATTATGCAAGTGGACCTTTATGTAAACAAATCAGAATATTTAGGGGCTAAATGATTATTTTTAAGATGATTAGGATTCGGGTAAACAGTTTTTCTATTACAGAGTTTATGTTTGTGTCAACTGCTGATTAGCAGTTTAGTTCAATACAAGTAAAATGTAATCAGGTTGGCTGAAACAACATAAATCGAATAGAGTAGTCCAAACTATATTTTTCAATTTTTTTGAAGCTGTCTCTGAAATTATTGTCTAGAAGGCCGATATAAGCTTTGCAATTAAATTATATAGCCTAAAGAGTCCAAAGGTGACAAAAAAAAAGCAATCCCTGACTCACAAATCTTCCCTATCACTAGGTCTTGTATAGACAGCCTGCCCATACTTTGCAGTAAGGGTTAAACAGATGTCCCACCTAGATCTCTTTTCCACTATTTGAATTATGAACTCAAAGAAAATGGATAAAAGCTTTGGAATTCACTGCTGATATGAGAGCACATCATAAAGGCGTGTTATCGTTGGTAAAACCTGAGAGTCTCCTGATTAAGCGTTGTATTTTGAGACAAGTGATAGTTACTCAAGAGATTTAGTTGCGAAGCATTTGATTGGGCTGATGTTTTCTATGAAGATGCTAACAACCCACTGTTAGAGAGGTGAACTGCTGGCGAGTACTAAATATCAAAAAAGCACATCACAATAAAGCTCTCTGCTGACTATGTGAAGGTGCTTTACATCAGTTTATACGACATCGTACTAGTACTAGTAGCAGCTCGATAACTATACAGTTGTTCTTGATTAAATTACGCAAATAATGAATATCCTATTCCTCTTGTTTTGATGAAGATAGTCAAAGGCATCATGTTGTATGAATAAATTCCAATAAGAATTCTCCAGTGACCAAATGATTCGACTTTATTATTTCATAAAATTCCAATCATGTGTTTCCCGAACGTTAATGTCTGCAATTACCGTAACATACAATTATGCATATGTGAAAAACACAAAACTGCTTAATATGTCACAGATTTTTATTTTCCTTTCTGTTTTCTCTTGTTGTACCTTGAACAGGAAATGTCAGTTTTAATTATTTCTTTGCTAATCTGAACATGTTATTGAGAAATGAAAATAAAGTAAAGGCTGTTTTCTTTTGTCCCTTTTTTTCCTCTTCGCTAAGGTATGTTGCTTTTCAAGTGTTTTTATAAAAAGTCACTTTGTCTATTTGTCTGTCTACATCATAGATTAGTTATTTTTTCTTATTTTGGTATATTTCAATACATATGACGCGAAACGATTATTGGTTATTTGTGTGTGTCAAATACCATCCGATCAACGTCACCCCATTACCGTTTATCCCTGTGCTATTTTGTTTTTCTGTTGTTTTTTTCTGTTTCTTTCAAAAACAGTTTAAAAATGGTCGAGTGGGAGAAGAAAGTAGTGTAATGTTTTTTTAAATTTTATTTCTTTAAAAAAAGTACTTATGAGTATCAACTTTCAGGTCTACCTTTCCTTTACAACTTCATTGAAACAAATGTGTTTAGTAAGTGTACTTATTTAACTTTTTTTCAAATTCAGAATTCAAAAAGGGATTTTTGCTTTGTATGTAGATCAATGAGATGTCTGAAATTTAACAGAGAAGCTTTCTTCGCCCACAAAAACAGGCAAACTGTGAAGAAAGCAATCCTATGATTGATTATGATTGACGATTTTTATTGATGTAACTGGGTTTACAGCTCCATTATCTAAAAGGATCCCACTGTTGAAGGCCGTAAGTCTAACTAAGTTAAGTCAGAGTACTGGAGGATCACGGATTGATGCTTCTAAATTACATGAAGCACCACGTCCACTATGTTTCAGAGACACTTTAATGAGCACTGGTATTGAGTCTTTCTTCAGTAATTCACGCAAATTTACGTTAATAGCTTGAAATTAAACTGATTCTCTAAACGGACAAACTTGTATCTGGTACCAGTATTTCTAAACTGATCTATGAAAGTCAGTTTCCTCATTATTAAAAGTAGTGGTACCTAGTTCGCATTTACGGATGCCATGATATTTTGTGATTCAGTGTTGCAGTTGGAGACGCTATCACAGATGTACCAGGACATAAAGATTCCCTGTAGAATTGTGCTGAACGCATTCGAGATTATTATAGACGTTTAATGGCCTATGGTATCTTAATTCTTAGCTGAAAATAACAGTGGTGGCCTTCATACTTCTTGTAAAACTGTACTGTAACTTTCCTGACAGTGAATATTTTGTCAACCGTTTTTGGCTTCCTTATCCTTTTTTATATTACATTTTAACACCCTTTCTGACAGAGGTGTGGTTCCATTTGAACTGAGAACTTTTTTGAATCAGTGGTCTTGATTTCAAGTCTCCATTCAACTATACTAGCTTGAGTAGATAAACTGAATGATAAACAGTCACAAACAGCCCTGCTTGTGGTTAAATATGTAGACCATTTACTCATTGGCTCCTGTTATCGCCACGCACCATTCCGTGTTTACTCTGTAGTAAATACAAGCATACCCGTCTTTCGTCAATAGCTTTCTCTTTAAGGTCTAGCCCTAAGACCTCACTGGTGACGTCTGTGATCGTAGCAATGGTTAAAGCGAGTTCAACACACTGAAAAGTATTCTTTCCATTGCAACTTAAGACATACCTTTCTGTTTATCCCCAACCAGCACACAGTCTATATTCAGATCTGCCCAAGGCTGCTTCCAACCTCCAAGCATCAAATGTGTGTACACTAACAACCAGACGAATATTTAGAATATTCATCATGATGCTTCTTCAAGTTTTCGTAGTTGATATATGATTTTAAATATAAAGTGGAACACAAAAATGCCCCTTTTAAATGCGTTTTTGGCAAATTTATTTCTTGTAGCTAATGAATAAAGATTTCACTAGCCACTTTTGAAATAACTGTGGAAAGCAAAGAAAGATACTGGGATGACTGCTAAAATCTAGTTGGTTTCTAAGTTTTAAAGTAGGTCAGTTACACGAGTATTTCTTTAAATAAGGCGTTGTATAATATCGTAGGTAATTGGTGAGGTGACTTGTGACATAAGGTCCCTTACAGAACTCCAACATCCTTTACACACCACAGTGATTGTGACTTATGCTTTGAGGGTGAGACGAAGTAACGAATACATACAGAATTTAGTAAAGTAAGTTGACCAGAGTTTACTGAAGTGATTCAGCAAAGTGGTGGTTTGCAGCACAGTTTCACAGCGCACTTATGGAGAAATGGTCAAATAAATCTGATAAATATATGCAAATTGAAGAAGTCTGTTTATTAATTTATCTAAAGGAATATTGCATTGATTATTACTATCATAATTTTTGTCCTTCCTTATTACCTCAACAGTCTGTATTTCTTGAACAAGACTGATGATTATGTTTGCGATATACAGACTGAAGTTAGTGGCAAGTGGCTGAGACTCACTGTAGCTTTTACATTTTATGCCTAGCATTAACCGGAAGTCAGTTTCACTGAACCTACTACACATACCCATTGGTAGCCTTCAGTAAACCTTATGTGCGATTCATGTTTCATCGGGTGTTTGAATCAGTATCACTTCACACTAAGAAGCTCTAGACCAAGAAAGCTGCACGTTCGTATTGCCTGTAATCGTCTACAATATGTTTGACAAATACAATATATGATGTTCTAATATCATATTTCAAGGGTATTGTTTTTTATTCATTAAAGTGAAAAGACCAAGCGCAAATACTGTAACAGTATAAAATGGATCAATTCATTCTTGTCAGTTCTAATCAACTGCATACAACCTAAAATATTTGTCACATCAAATTATAACAAAGTTTTACTTCGTTTATTGATAAGCAGTACATCGGCCGGGAATAACACTGTCATTTTTCATTAGATACTCTGTGACCATATTATTCTGCTAGATACATTCTGTGTTACAGTTATTACCGAATAATCTGCCTATTTACCTTTTGTTTCGAAACTGCACGATATTCGTCCTACTGTCTGAGTAGAATTAATGCTATGGAAGGTTTCTGATAAGGTTTACATTTGTGACTTCATCAAGCAATTTATCAATTTTGAAACAAATCTCTCACTTCACGACGAAATTATTCTGCTCCTTACTCACGAACTGTCAGCTACCAGGTATTTGGTGGGAATAAGTGTACATATCGCTAAAGAGCCCAGAAGTAGGACTCAATAGATGTCAAGTACTTCATAGTTTCAATTGTCGATTCACGATGAAATTTAACTTGAATGAAATCATTTTTAACTTCTGATTTACTCTGACGCAACATGGATCATAGTTTTAAACTAGTAAAATAAAATAAACCTCTTTTATACCAGTCTAGAAGTCGTATTTCTCCTCTCAAACTGATAACATGACAGTGGTGAGAGTCGAACTTTAAGGCTGCCTTATCAGATTTAGAAAATCAATTAGTGTTCATCATTAAAATAAAAAGCCATAAATAAATGCGATTTGATTGTTTGTGATTGTGTATCTTATTAGTGGCTTTTGACTTCTTTTGGGAAAGAAATATTGCTGATCAAGCGTTTTACTAGTTACCAACTATATATCACCATTCATTCATTTAGCTAAATAATAGCTTAAATAGAATGAATGCAAGATAACTTCGCATAACAAACTTATCATTAACTATCAATAATATATTGTACTTACACTTCATTGTGATACTTGATAGTCTAATGCTCTCAGATAATTATTATTACTGTATCTGAATAAGATGCAAAATAGAAGTCAAACTTGGGTCAAGACACATATAAAACCAGTGGAATTCAGAATTTCAGAAATGTTCCACAAGTGATATCACGCAGTCTATCTGAAAATCCCATGGGCTAATATTTGTTCTAAAACAGTAAACTGGGTTACCCGAATTTATCAAGGAAGAGCTTTAACCGTACACGATGAACACACTTTATTCTCCAAAAGTATATATTCATTTATTCATGAAAAGTATTCACCAAGACACAATTCTATGTTCTGCGTATCTTACTTCTAAATTCAAGAAGAATCTGTTCCTTTGATAAACTTGAAAACTCATACTAACTATATTTCATCGGAACATACGAAAGCCCTAAAATACACAAATGTAACAAATTATTAAAAAAAAAAATGATCATTTAATTAGTTATAATTTGTGAAAACTTGATAAGAAAAAGTAAATACTTACTATCAGCTGATAGCTCATTAGCTTATTTTCCTGTGTTGATAACAACGTCTCAAATGAATGCGCATCACGAAAGAAAGTCTTTATTACACAAGGATAACCGAAAAGAAGAGATGAGAAAGTATTTTCTATTCAAAAAAGGAACATTTGCAAATATTATTATATGAAAGTGAGAAGAAACCGAGAATGTTGCTGAATTTTTTTTAAAAAAAGTTACTCATTTTATCTCATTATTCTCATGTGAACATTTACTTCATAGTTACCTTTTTTGTATCTATCTGTATTTCATGCTTTCATTAGGGTTAGACTCACGAGTGAAATATCTTCCATTAAGAAACATTTGTGAGATCTCTCTACGTTTAGTAATGCTTAGATCGCTACTGTATAATACAGAAGATATCTCAACGTTAGTCGAAGAATTCATTGATAAGTTAACATAAAGATATGCTCTATTATCATTATTATTATTTCCGAGTGTTCCGAGTAGAACATAGGGCTTCAACAGCACATCTCCTCTTTGTTGTACTTTCTGCTGTCGGCTGTAGCTGGGTTCACAATTGCCTATAATCTCTTACCTCCTCCTCCTCCTCCTCACACAATCTGCTCCATTTCACGCAAGGACGACCCACTTGTCGTCTCCTATTCGGATTCCAATCGACCAGTGGCCTGGGCGCAGTGACATCCAACGGTCTCCTCAACAGACACCCAATCCATTTCCACTTCCTCCTACATATTCTGTAAACTATGGGTTCTTGATTAGTTCGTTGCCAGAGTTTTTGTTGCTGCTCTTTCTGGCTATTTCATCTTCAGTATGGAGCCGGAGAAGGCATTTGTTGATAAGTCTGCAACCTGTTGGAAATACTTTTTGTGAAGCACACTTCAAGCTCCTGACCTATATAGAAGAACTTTAGTGTTAAAAATCCAAATCTTATTCTTTATGCTGCCTGAGTGCAGAAGATTTCTAAACTGTTTTCAGGTTGATGAAGGCATATCTTGTCTTTCCGATCTTGACTGACGTTGACATCTTCATCCGTTCCGTCAGCCTCAGATTGAAACATTCCTTCCTAGATGAGTGAAGGAAGTGACCTCTTTCAAGTTCCTTCCAGTGAATATACTCTATAATGACTGAGTTTATTTGAAGCGGTAGGTAGTAATGAGTTTTCTTTTTCTGGAAGACAATGAATTACTCATCATTTTATCAAGATAAACACAGGATTTTTTCTGTTTCATTTACCGTTATTACTTTCATCATTTTCCATTAATTTTAATGGTGGTACTACTTTTTGTGTATCACTTTGACTGCGAGTATGCAGTTTTGACTTAGTGAACAAAGATTTGCTAAACAGTCTCAACTCGATTATGGTGGATTTTGTCAGTGTCAGGCAGTTTCACTCTGTAGTGTGATTGTAGGTCAGTGCACACTGTAATGTTCTAGCTGAATTACTTACCCTACTATGACACACTGTTCTACATTCACTTGGATTCCTATCCTCTGTTAATCTGACCAGCCACATTCGACATTTATGATGTGCGTATTGCATTCATGGTCACACGCTAATTTACTTATTCCTGATTGGATGAGAAGAATCCTTTTAGGAGTTGGGCTTTAATCGAAGTAACTATGAGACTTTGAGTGACTTTTTAATTTCATGTTTACTGAAAGTTTTAGGTAATACCTCTGTTACTCTTTCACTGGATACTAAAGTAATTGAAGCTTTTAATCTACTCTTTAGATTATTGCTCTTTTTAGTATACTCTTTTAGGAATGTTTCGATTTAAATGAATTCCCCGTGATAATTACTTAATAGCAATGCTTTACTTTGACATTTATTTCAGTGTTTATAATTTCTGACTTAATAGTTGGACTTCTAGACTTCGACATTTAATTATACTTGCCTTTACTGACACGGAAGAGATGAACATAAAGTCTAGATACACTTTAGACTTCTGTTGTTTATATACACTCAAGTGTCTAAAATCATATTTTTTTCCTTTGGCCTGTTTTGTATTTCGATATTGTTATTTTCTCTAGTCCTTTTTTCATGATTGAAAACTCAGCTGAATACACATTACCACCTTCTTTAAATATATTAAGTAAGTTATGTTCCGATTTCGCAGCTGTAAATATGTTATGCACAGGGAGCTACAGTATCTTTGGGGGAATAGAATTCAACAAATTAAGAGCCATTTATTTTCAACCATTATAAACTGTACCATTATTATTGCCCTTGGCTTCCTGTGGAACACCGGCCTTTCGTACTACATATCCATTTCACAGTCCATCCACAGTCTTTTTTTAATTGGCTCGATGGTTGCCCAAAATCTTTCATTTCCTCAGCACCCTCATCATTTCCGGTTTTAGTTCCCCTCCAGCTTCAGCACAGCGTGTGATATCACCCAACTGTCTACTCACTGAGTATCAAATTCATCTCCATTTCAATCAACATACTTGATGGAGGAAAGGCTGATGGCTGATTTTTTGTCAGGGTCCTTTGTTGCTATTCCCCCTGACAATTATAAATACACCCATGAGTAGTGAGAGTCCTTGTGATCCTCTCGCCACTCCTTTCGTTTATTCATTTCTTTCTTTTTGAATCTCGAAAAGTTCAGTGATTATACCTAACAAAATTCAGACGCGTTTGCAGCATCAAATTTAAAAGTCAATCACTCTTTTTTGTCTTTTGTTTGTTCAGTTGGATAAGACAATATGATCTAGCAAATACCTTTTAATGACTGTGAAGGTAAATACTCAACACCTAGTATAAGTGTCTGAACTCATCAGCATAGAAATACATGAAATGACTGTATGGTATTATACTTAGTGATATATTAAGTGATGCGCACAAATTTAATCAGACTGTTCGTTTATCTTATTTGACTGATGGTGACAACAGTTGACATCCAAGACGCGCGTTTAGTCCTTTTCTAGGCTTATCATCTGGATGTTAGCGTCCCTCAGTGACTATAGTATTCCCAACAAGATTAGCACCTGGTATCCATCATCTTTAAAGTGACAGCGTTATACTGTAGACTACTCAACCAGGAGTTAAAGCTTACTAGCATATCGGTTGGTGAAGACATTAAGAAAACGTTGTGACATTCTACTCAAGGCACACGTTTAAAAGTGTGTAGTGAGCACGTTGTACAGTGAAGTGGTAAATCAAGTTGCAATAATTTCCGTTATTATCCTCATCGGCATTTTATCTGATGCTAACAGATTACAGTCTCCTTTAATTTCAAGTGTGATTACGGAATGATATCATTTAGAGAACCACTGAAAACTAGTGAATGTTGAGCAGCTGCTTTGTTCTAGTTTGGGAATAATCTACTCTGGTCACTGAGTGGTCAAACTTGAAACAAATAAAATTCCTCTAAACAAAACCTTGAAAATTAATCTGAGACTCGGTGATGATTGGCTGCTTCGAATTCTGGCCAAAAGTCATGGTCGGTGGGGGGGGCATCTGGTCGGATAAATACTCACCGATGATACTGGCTGGTGGTCGCGCAAAATTCACGAATTAGTAGAGGTTAGAATTCATGAGCCTTTGGGCCGGATCCCATTGAGTGAGTGTTCTACAAGGTTGCCTTGTAAACAGAAGGTCCTGGGTTCGAAACGGAGGGGTTACGCACAGGCGGTAAGTGGTAAACTGGGAAGAAACAGATATTCAGTACTCCTTGATGGTTTTCAATGGCTCTCTAGCTGATATCAAATAAAATCACTAGAATCAAACGCCTGAAAATTCCTTAAATTTGTTAGTGATGTCCTCAAATATGCTATTGATGCATACTGCTCAATTTTCTAACAGCGATTTCTTAAACAGAAATACCAATGCTTGTACACTTTTCTCCGTCCCAAAAATTAAGCATTGGAAATATATTTTTTGATTTACAGCTTGATTCCACACTGTATTTTTGGTACAAGTATGGAATTTTCAGCATGGATATCGGTAGCCCAAATTTTGCAGGCCGACCATACATATCAGATGTGCGCCGGCGTGGGCTCGAACCCCGGACCATGTGCATGATCGGCGAGAGTCCTAACCACTGTGTCACCGACGCAAATAAAAATTAATCGGGTGCACCAAAATCCCACTAGAAAGAGCAGTTCTACTGACTTTAACATACGGTTCGTCTATAACATGTGACGAAGATGACGGAGCAAAGTTGCCTTTTTTTGTTCACATTATAAAAAATGGTTTCCCATGTGTTTGGGGCAAATAAAAGTAAGTGCTAATTATTTCACTGTGCGATTCACATAAAAGCAGTGGTTGGGAAATGAATGTAGAATGGAAACGGTACGATTTTAATATCTACAAGCTACTGAATACATTAATTTTTATGAAGACACTGAAGACAAGATTCTTTTACGTATCATACAACACAGTGTATACTGTAAGCAATTATCAATCATGTAACTTTCGATGACACAGCGGTTAGAACTCTCACTGACCATGCGCATGGTCCAGGGTTCGATCCCCTGCCGATGCACACCTGATATCTATGGTCGACCTGCAAATTTTGGTCTACCGATATCACATGCTGAAAATTCCATACTTGAACCAAAATATTGGGTGTGGAATCAAGTTTTAATCAAAATATATGAAAATAAATAAGCATTCTCAAGTCAAAACAACAGTAATAGTCCCTTTTAAATTACTAGAACGAATATAACTCATCATAAATTGTGTAAATATTCCAGTGCCACTTCTCATTCTTGATTGTATGGATATGTGCAAATTTAATCTGAGGTTTTAAGTTGTTTTAGTAAAACACAGTCATACGTAACAACTTTTGAATAATTTTGGAAGAAAGTCCTAAAATTTTTAAGCTTACAAAAAATTTCTTATAAAAGATTGTATGTACACCAGTGAACTCACCTGAATTTTGACGTCTTGCTGTAATAATTTTTGTTGATATGTCCACATTTGCATTAATTCAGACCAGCCATTTTCTAATCTATCTAATCGTTGATCCAGCTGTACATAATGGATATCAGTTTCACCGGCTGTAATGCATCGTCCATAACTGATTAAGTCAGCAAATTCTTCTTTACGTGCTAAAATCTGTTCGCCGAGTTCTTTATGTAAATCTAGTTCAATTTTTGCTTCTTCAACAGACTGGGGCAACTGATGCGTTGCTACACTTATTTCAATGTTGCGCAACCACAGTTGATTATCATCCAAACCCTAAGGAAGGTTGAAACAAAGTATATTTAATGGTATTTATATGATACAATAACATTGTTCAAGTGAAAGAGTGAGAAATAACTGACTAATCCCAGGTTTCAACCTCATGGAAATGTATTTCTGCGCCTAATTCCGAAGAAAAATTTATAAAAAAAATTATTAACCCCGTCTGACAAAATAATATTTATTATTTGGAACCCGGTATGTTAAGAAGAAAATCAAGAACGCATTAAAATGCAGCCAAAACTTAAAACCCAAATATTTTATCGGAGTAAATGTTATCACAAAAACGTGTCACTTATACTTGGTCTTTGGAAAGTAGTAGATAACTAGGAAAAGTTCTTGTCAGACTGAAGACAAGATTCCCCGTCACTGTTTGACTTCATGCAGTGTTATTATCAAGCTATGGCAGCCTCATTATAACTGTTTAGAAATAGACTGTTATGAGATGTATTGCCTTGAGTTAAAAATTCATAAACGTGTAATGTAAAACAGAATTTTTGAGGAAATATGAAACATTAGCATCTTCTACACTCAGCCTTATAGCGCTTTTAAGTAGCAAGTTTCACTTAACACTTTGTGGATTTTTAGCTGATTGAGTAAATGAAAGTCATTTTTCTGAAGAAAACATTGCCATCAAACAGGATAATATAAGAAAAGTACTTGTAAATATCAGTTGTGGGAAAGTCCCTCTTGATAAATACAACTTAACAGTGAAACGGAGATTTAGTCACAACTCATCTTGCAAAAAGTAACTTTCAATGGTGAATCCATCGTGATGTATAGCCAGTCGAAGTGAGCATTTTGACGTTAGCCAGCATATGTTTAATGACCTTCCATGCAAACCTTTTAGAATTTGACATTCAGAGATCTCTTACAGAACGTAGTAGTACCCTGCAGAGAGAATGAGTACAAGTAGAGCATAATGATAAAGTATAATCATATGTTGACATTCGTTTTTGGTATTAAACATATTGATGTGGCTATTAAGTGGTTGGAGTGAACTGGTAGTAAGCCGTGAATGTAGGTCCCGTGCTTGTAGACACTCGTTAACGTAGAATAAACTGATTTTCCAAGTGTTGCTGTCAGAGGCGTTACTCTTGCACTATTAGGACAAAATATGTAGTTTTAGTGACCACACTGCAAATTAGACTGGTAGAATTCTCTCAGAACTAACATTAAGTTCTTGACACGTACATTATTCAATGTACGTGTACATGAGTTTTACATCATGTGCTCATATCACATCTTATTTAAGTCTTTTTTCTACCAAGTAAAACTGCACCACTTTGTTATAAATTAGTGAGCGCATATCTGGTCTAGTGAAAGATTTAATTTGCCTACAGATATCCAGTCCTCACGGTTATCGCTTACGACACATGGTCCGAGTCTAACTACACATAAAACTTGTCTCACTCGCTTTTAAATTTACAAAGTTCTCATTGGTAATAATATGTGAAACAAACCATTTATTCTGACTCATTCACTTACGTAAAGAGAGCATAGGAAAGCAAACTTATACGGTTAAATCCAAATTGTGAACATTTGTACAAGTGTGGTTGACATATCTCATAGCAGCCTAGTTTTTGGTTTAACACTAAACACTAAGAAGATAACAGGTGATGTTAGTTGTCTATGTTATTTAACCAGTGGCTATCACAAGACCAATAACTCGAAATCTTGTGAAAGATTTAGCTTTCATTACTCACTACATCAACGTCGAGCAAAGAAGGTGAGGGTGTTTCAGGTTATTTATATATATACTTAGATTTTAAGATAAAACTGATTACCTGGAAGAATTGTTGTAACTCAGCTGAAGCGAGCAATTTATCTTGACGATTTCTTAACTCCAACTGCAATGATTCCCACTCTTTATTTAATTCTTTTATTAACTCCCCTACTTCTTTTGATGCATACAGCTCACCAGAAATCAAATATAAATCCCTTCTTTGCGGTGCTTCGTCAATAAGTTCTTTAGCCAGCTTTTCACCTTCAACGTTTAAATGTTCGACTTCACCTTGTAATGCTATAAAATCTCTCTCCCATCCCATTAGCCTTCTTTGCAATTGCATAACACTATTCAAGTCTGTACCTAAATCATCGGTTGAAATAAGCAGTTCTCTCTTGCGAATAATCCATTCTTTTGTACTTTGAAAGAGAGTATGAAATGTCGATAAGGTTGCAGCCAATTCAAATCTTTCATGACGTGCCTCAATCAGGATCTTTAGTCGTTGCCACCTCTTAGTTACATGATCTAATAATTTTGAATACTTAGATCTGAAGATGTCGATTTTATTTCTTCGATGGCGCTGTTGCTGTCTCTGTTCTTCTTCTTCCTCTACCTCTTCGTCATCGGCTTCTTCATCTTCATATGCATCGTAAGTAGCTGTCTTCTTTTCATGTGGACTTTCTTCCTCCTCTTGTTTATTACTGTCTTCAAAATGGATTTCTTCATGGGTTTCCTGACTGAATTCATCTCTGCTTTCACTGCCTTCTTCTTCGTCTTCGTCTTCATTATCCTCATCTACATCGTATTCGTCCCCTGGGGAATTAATTTTAATAGTTGCTTTAATGAAATGCAAAATGTCCATATCCTTTTCCTTATCGAGTTTACTAAAAGTGTCACATAGGCCTTGATCAAGCATTCCAATTTCACTAAGCCGTAGATTAGCATGACTTTTCAGCTCATTCTCAAATGTCTTGAATCTATAGGCCTGCACAGATAATTGAGATATTGACTGAATAATTTCTTTGGTAACGACAATTGGGCATGGTTTCGGTAAGGATTGTATAAATTTCACTGAAGGATATATTATGGGATTGAAGGTCAGTAAAATCTTCTCTCTTAAAGGTATGTGAAAAAAGGTTAGAAAAAAATAAATAATATTTAGGCAAAAGTGAATGACCACAGCACTGCCTATTTAGAGAAACGCATACTGTAACCAATGTTCAGAGTCCCATTATTTAGTTAAAAATACATAGGAATAAACAAAATTTAGTAGGTGGCATAGATGAGTGGCCAGACAAAGTTTTTACATTGGGCTAATAATAATAATATTTTGTAATACCGGACTGACAAGACCTCACTATGTGGAATATGGTTAAACCCATCTGTTAGTGTTTGGAAGTAGATAAGCCATTCCTCTCGTTTACATTTATCCCTTCTTGTAACTTGTTTATTTGTGTTTGCAGATTATAAAGATTTTCATAGAATATGTGTTCTGGACTCAGGAAACTTTGAAGACAACTTCTACTGACTATTATTTTTTCATGAACAGAGTGAAATATTGTTACTGATGTCGCTAGTGATTCTGAAATACTTACAACTTAGAAATTTAGTAACCGGGATCTTTCTATAATAAGTAAAGATTTATTGCACCCTTAATCCATTCTTACTGTGGAACTAGAATTGAAGGTGTCGCCTTGATGGAAAATGAAAAGCTGGGAGTACTGGAGAGCTGTTTCGTCCTTGTTTGGGACCCTTCATCAGCACGCATTCACTGGGGTTCGAACCCAGGACCTTCTGGTTACAAGGCGAGTTCGTAGACCATTGAGCCACTGGGAGCCAATCCAATGGTCCTTGAATTCTTACTTCTGTCAGCTCATGATGAAATCCTCCAAGCAATCAAACAAAATCCCTACATAACCAATGCTTCATAATCCAACCATTACATTAGGAGTGCACAAAAATATTAATAATATTTATCTAATGGGTCGAAAACAACCCTAGAGATGCATTCCACCCAGGAAGTCATTCACATTTGGAAGTCTTCGGTCACAAATGTCTAGCTCACGACAACGGTAAAACGCTTTCAAACCGATTGCCCAACTGTGAACAAAATGTCTCCCTGATTTTACAAGCTGACCAAAGTCTATTAGTCAAGTTAGACAATGTCGCTAATGGGCAAAGTGATCAGGTGCTGTCGTGCAACATGCTTGATGCTAATGTTCATCAGTAAAGCAGCGTAAATTCTTACTCAGTTTGAATTTTGTGTCAAGTGGCATTTATCAGGAAAATGAACACGTCTAGTCTTGAAAAAAAGCTACCCCGTTCAACAGTAACAATGATTAAGAGAAATATTATCCAAAAGTATTTGGAATAAAGATCATGGAAACAATGCATAAAACGTCGTGCAAATCATAACTAGGTGATCAGTGAAGTTCCCATTAAATTTGGTAAGTAATATCAGTTACTAAAATCAAGTAAGGGAAAGAAGTGTTTAGATTACAGGATAATAATCTACCAGACATCTATGATGATATTTAATTTCATTTGTTTGAGTTCTACAGACACTATCTCGATTCGTGATATCTAAGTACTTCAAATTATCCGCCATAGGAGAGAACTAACTAGTCAAAAATACAAATGGAATCTAACTAGTTGGTCTCCGGATATTCACAGTTTTCGTCCAAAACTGAAGCTGACCAGAGAACTTCCTAAAAAGTAAGCGAAAGTGGACATCAGTCTAATGCAATAAGTACCTACAAGTATCAACAGCACATATTAATTTGAACTTTAGGTAACCAAGTTTCGTGATGAGCGCACTACTAATTTGACTGATGAGACCTTTAGCATTTCCTACAAATTAGTGGACTTGACATGCTGCTTAACCGTCCGCACACGTAACTTGATTTTCTGCTTCTAAAAATCATGTAGTGTGCGTGACAAATGCCTGAAGATATACTAAACATTAGAAAATAATAGTTCATTTTAAATCAAACCATCAGCTTACTTTTCTTCAATCCAACTTTCTAATGATGTAACGTTATCAACAAGACGTAAAACATTTCGTTGAATTTCTAAAATATCTCTTTGTCTTAAGCAGTCCTCCACATAATCTTTTAAATTCATATGAATGAAATCTAAGCGATTTAGTAAATAATAAGCAATTGTCGAGATATGTGGTAATAGTAAAATGCTCAGTTCATGGGCTTCTGGTGAATTCAATGGTGTTTTAAAATCATTTTCAAAGTATTCATCACTATCATTATCTTCTCTGAGTTCTTCACATGAGGATTTCGATAAAGCTGAAGTAAATACTGCTATATTTTCGACAGATTCATTTGTAAATGACACATCTTGGCCATCGTCTTTCTTTATATTGATGGTTTCGCCTTGTTCAATGGGTTTTTCAGTTTGTGTGTCATCTTTCTCTTCTTGCCTTTCGTCTTTAATTTCTTCCTCTTCTTCAATACTCCATTTGTGTATTACTGGGACAACTTCATCTTCAAATGACGAACTGATAGTTTGTGCACCAGTTACTGAAACATTATCACTATAACTTGTACTTTTATCTTCTCCTTGATCATCGTCTACTTTATGTGCAGACTGAAACCGAATCTCTTTACGTTGTTGTCTATGCGTACTGAGATTGTTTAATTTTGTTTCCAATCGTAAATATTCCGCATAATCATTTTCATTTAACACTGATTTTGATACCAGAAAAATGGACACTTCTTTTCTTAAACGTATCAAGTGTTTGGGGAATAATTTCAGTTGTTCAATTATCTGTAAAAATATACAAATATCTACAAGAATATATGTCCAAATTGAGGCATTAAATATGAAATCACTTCAAATGCTATCATTATCAGGAAAATTTAAAAGTAGGTGAAGTGAATTTAAGATAGGCTATAAATGTTATTAAAATAGGACTCAATGAATCAGTAGATTTTTGGCTGAAATTATCAGTTTCTTTCATATTTTCTTCATAGTGTTGTGTAAAGATTCAAGAATGCATAACACAAACTGAAAGTGTTTATTTCTGATACAAATTTAAATAAGCTAAGAATATCAATAAAACTGGATTAAATGAGTTCATCGAATCTCGTTAGAGCTAAACACTCAACATACGGCGTTATACGTATGCATATACAATGAGAAATATATAACGAGAAATATAATTAATAAATATAATATATAACAATGAATCAATCACAGCCAGATGACGGCAGAAAATGTCTCGCTGGTCAAATTAAGGTAAGCAGAAAAGTGGAAGAGGTATGACACATTGAAAATTGAAACAGCAATAGATTACATACAGTTCAATAATATCACTATTGTAAGCAATAACTTATCAGAGAGAGACAGAGAGACTGAAAATAATAGAAGTCGCAAAATTAATACAATCATAATTACAGTAACAATCAAAGCAGTTAAGATAATGATACTGACAAAATATGGTTTTATATACTACAAGAGATAATAACATTTGTTATTAATTAATTTTTGACTTTCACTCTGATTGATTGGATCGAAATGTTAAGCCCCTGCTGACATGTAGGCTCCTTTTGGAAATGCTTCGACGGTTTCTTGGGATTAACACGAAGTTATTTCGTGGCCCAACATTTAGGGTTCAATCAATCAAGGGAAATATTTTAGGGAATTAAAAACGAATAGCAACAGCCGGCTATTGTAACCCAAGTGATCTAGTTGAAACCTTTCTGGAGTTAGAAGTGATGGGTATTGGATTTGAGTTGTATTGAGAACACCATCATTCACGGGCAGTGGAGATGCACCCAGATGACGAGTCCAGAATGGGACGAAATGTGCACCCTGGATTCCTGTGCTAGTAACCATCCGCCAATTAGTTTGGTGCAGTATAGTACTTTGATTAATCTTGTCTTCAGCATCCAGTTTTCATTGATGTCATAATGAACTGCAGTCCAATATAATCTTAATTTTTAGTCTGTTATACCCCTTCCACCCTTTACTTGTCTGAACTTGACCCGTGTGTAGAGTATTCAGCTAACAAACTCTACTAAAGTTTAATGAACTCATTAAATCCTGTTCTAATTTACATATTTATATAACACAGACTCAAGTTCATCTGTTACAAATCTTCAAAGCATAAGCTACGCAGCGTAGTCGGTTTCCTGAATAGCCTGGATTAGTGTTAAGCCAATCACTTCCGTTATAATATTTCGTAGCTGTTTGCGGATTGTGCGTTTTGCTATTTCGATTATTGCATTTTCCAATGCTTGTTGTCAAGCCTTAGGGAATATTCACTTTTGAACAGGAGACGATTTAATCTCATAATCACGGGACACTTTCTTTGCTTTATCCTAACCAATACTAATCATATTAATTTTTTATGTGATCGAGTAATGAAGATACTATGCAATCGATGTTTACTTTATGCAAGTGAACCTTTCTATGAACTCATCATTTCTTTTTACCAGACAGACATCTGGAAATCAGATAATGTCATTTCTGTGTTAAAGCTAAAATTTTGCGTAAAATGAACTTAAAATTCTACGATGAAGTTTTAACTTTTATTTTGCTTTTACAGCCAATAAAAATATCAAATGTATGCTGATAGCACATTTCCTTCCAATGTATTACTTGCTTAAAGTTACTAGTTTTGAAATGTAGAATATCTAAGTGGCTTCCTCATTTCGGGATTATTGACTTCAGAAAATAATCGAAGATATTTTATGCGTAAAAACAAATAGTTACAGCTGGTCTTCTATTACACTAAAGGTATCATTAACATCTCTGCACCTAAATTCATCATTTTTGGTAATTAGAACATTTTTTGAATAAAGAAATAATAAATAGTGGAACATGAGGCTTATTAGCACCATTTAGGTCGTTAACATTTTGAATAAATTGATATTATTCATAGCACGTTTCCATACCTCATATAATGCCTTAGTCTGTGTTCCGTCTGTACACCTTTTATTGCACAACAATAAACTAAATCAGGCGTGCAGAACAAAATGTTCGGCTGAAATTTACGAATTCAATAAAATTCTTCTCTTCTAATGCATTTTATTCATCATCCAGTAGGATGTAGAACATTTCTCGAGGGTTGAATGCCATGAAGAGTTTACAGGATTGTTCGTATGTGTCATCGAAGATTGCTAGTTATATTTTCAAGAACTATCACTGTCTCAGTTGTTTATGTTGATATCAGATTATCTCTGTTTACCATCTCTTTAAGATAGCTTTAACAGGTATTCTGTTGTATATGACTTTACAACGACTTGTTTGTCCTTTTCTCTACCTATTTAACTAAAAGCCATGAATAAGCTTTACAATTCAACAAAACTGATGAAATAAATGGAACCGATTGCAAAATACTTTAACATAAAATGATGCATACAGTATACATACACGCATGCATACATATATACATTTCACATATCTTATTGGCATATGGCTTAACCGCAGAAATTCGACCACCCACAATGTTACTGACTATTGATTTCAGACATACAGACGGAATATTAGACTAATAGTATGTTTAGATCGGCGAAATTTTATAGTACAGTGCATAAGTTGACATTAAGTGAGAATAAATTTCAGTGATAAAAAAATGATGTAATAACGTGAGTACTCTTTAATCACACAAACTACTCTTCAGTTTTTATATTCAGGAAAGATATCGCTACTAGATAGCTGACAAGGTTATGCTTAAGACTTGTGACACACTGTGATTGTATGTTGAAAACCATGAGACTTTTATTTTGGTGGGAAATCAGTCAAAGCGTATTTTAAAACACTGGAGAACTGTTTCGTATAAGTTTAGAATTCTTTGGTAGACGCGTCCAGAAACCGATTAACCATATTTAGTTCAATGTATTTGAGTGATATTGATTAACTGTATATGCAACATTTACATCACTGAAAAGTAGTAGTCAGTAACCAATATCCCACATTATGTGAATAACTGTCACCTTAAATACTTCGACTACATTATTAATCACGATTAAGTCAACCGCAACTCAACATGACAACACACAAAATGAAATATTTCCGAATATATATACATATATATAATGCACTAAGAACAATGTAAATAGAAAGATTTCAGAAAACTCATAAATTCTACGCATGCTATCCTAACATCAGAAAATGTTCGTAAACTTGAAAATTCACAATAAATTAATGTCGACAAAAGAACTAGTAAAATGCCAGTTTATGTCATCTGAACAATCAAGCATTGGGTGGCTGCTGGACGGATGGAAGCTCATACTGGTAATAACAGTCTAATTTAACAGTATGACTACTTAACCATATAGAATGGCATTTCCTTGATCTGCAGCTTACCATGATTTGGTATTATGTGTTTACGGTTATAGTAAGCAAATTAATCATTAATCTATTCATATCACCAGAACAGTGGAACACCATCCGGTATACAGTTTCCATCCTCTTTAACCTTGCATAGGGGCTGATAGAATTTGAAACTACAAAGGTAAGTTACGAAGGCTTTAATTTTTGTAATAAACCATATGACAACTAAAAACTGGTGCTTCATTATGATCATTAGTACTAAGACCAGAACCACTTCAGCAGGCAGTGGTTCAGTGAAGGAAAACCGCAAATGTAGCTAAAAAGTTACTATTTGCATTTGATTTTTTTAACAGCAAACATAGTGTGTATTAAATAAATAAATTAGTAAATATATTCAACCGGCGGAACAAGCAAATAAATAAATTTTGAAAAAAACAAAACAAATATTATATGGTAACGAAGTTCCAATAGGGCTTGCACCATTCTATGACTAGCAATTTGAGTTTGTATTTTGTACAGTGGCCACGTAATTCCTTTGCCGAAAAGAGAAAGTATGTCAATTATTCATCTGGGAGTACTGGACAGCTGTTTCGTCCTGGTTTGGGACTCTTCATCAGTACGTGCCCACCGACCCAAACAAGGACGACACAGCTGTCCAGTACTCCCAGGTTTTCCAGTGGTTCTCTAACTGATGTCAGCTTATGATAAGATCCTCCTTGCAATCAAACAAAATCCTCACAGAACCAATACTTGAAAATTATTCATCTCTCTACCAATAAACTTTCATATGGTCTCTCTTCTTCAAACTATTCTTGCCAATTTTTTTCAAGGAAGGGAAGCATTTCATCTGCATTATGACTCATATAACAGTTTTATCACCAATGGTATGACAAACATCAATGGTTTAATTTGGCAAAAAATGAAAAGTTAAGTAATTTTACAGGGTGATGATTAAAGTTGCATCGAGAATATGTGTCGCCTCCGAATTACTGGCTTGGCACTCTACTATCTGGACTGCGAAACCAGTATACTGATCAGCTCATAACCTCACTGTAAACTATCACTAAGAATGCCAGATGATTGTGCGAATAAAAGATGCGTAGCTTTCTATTTATCACTATACTAGCTACTAAAATAATCTATGTAATTTTTTCGTTACCACATAAATCTGCTGCAGTCAGCTCATGTAAAAAAACACTCAAATTAAAGAATATGTACCTTGAGTGTTGATTATTTTGGATAAATCTATAAATATGTTTGAAAATTTTTTTTCTTAAATGACTGAAGTCATCATCAGGAATTTCTACAACTTAACTTCGACTATTAAATACCAATGTTTCTGTCAGTAGTGGAAATCTCATCTTATTCACTGTTATTGCACAATAAAACGTCTCATTGATTACTCTTGATCCCTAAGCGCTTGTTCCAGTTTATTTTGACATACTAAAACTAGCCAAACAAAAAAATAACTAATAAACTGGTATTTCAGTACATGATTTAAGCAAATATTGAAATTCAAACAAAAAATGATTTCTAGGAATTATAACGGAGCAGTCAGAAAGTCTTATTCTGCATCTTTATTACAGATTATTATTATGTGAGTGGAATTCGTCAGATAGTGGGTAGTTTGTAGAAAGCTTGGGATGAGAAGAGAAGTATTTAATAACCTTCTGACATCCCCTAGAAAAATAATGAATCTCTAGAACTACTGGATAAGTAGCCAGCAACACCTCACCAGATATTATGGAGTAACAATACCAAAAACTAGTTGCTTCTTGAGCTTGAGTTTCAGTATCATGTCCACTGATATTGCGATCGAGACGACAGAAAATGGAATGACTAGATCATGCCTAAATGTATGTAGACACGTATTGGATTACGACAACTGGTACTTATTATGAAAGTTTCTTAAACAGATGAACAATAATCATTCAGTTTAACATGTAACCTTGTCAACATGTTCAAAAATGAAAAAAATACTGTAGAGTTAATAAATATAAAGATTACCTTACCACTTTCAAGAAATATAAAAAATACATTCAACCTACATGATCCATTTGCCTTAATGTTGAATTAATTACAACTTCTTTGTCAACAGTAAGAGCAGTATGTGCATTCAACATATCAAAAGGTTCTTTCAACAACGTTCCCATTTGGCTTTCCTTCTGTGACTGTTTATCTTCTTCAAATTCTTCAACATTTCCTGTTTTGTTGGCAAGCATAAGTGTGATATTTACACTGTTATAAGTTTCACATATTCTTAGACTGGTTTCTTCAATTTTCATATTTGCTAGCACTAAACTATGTAATACATTTAAATAATGATTATGCTGTAATAATTTGTTCTGTATAACTTTAATTGATTCTAATAATTTGCTCCAATATCTTTGTAGTAGGCCAACAAACTCTATAGTTTTTGTTTGACGTTCTTTACATCTAATCTCTTCACAAGTGTCTGATGTATTTGGTGAACTATTCTGGTCATTGCTGTTGTTGCTGTTGTCACTTTGTGTATATAATTCTTGCATACACTTCAAAATATCCTCATAAATTTTTATCAAAACACATTTATTTAACTCGTTGATCATTTTTTCAGGATATTCTTGACTTTTCTCCAAGAGTTGTGTACTGTGTATAATACTCAGAGAATTAATATCGTCTATGCTTAATTGATAAAAGTCTGCAGGGTTTATTTGACTAATAACCTGTTGTAAATGTTTGCACAAACTTTGATTTGATACTAAAAATGAGTGGTGAAAATAATTCACTTTATATCGTGATTGAAGTTCAGCGTCAAGTAGACGTGATTTACTTTGCAATTGATGTGTTGTTATGCTAACACATGAAAAATGCTCAGCTAACTCATTCTTATTAAAATTCGGTGGTTCAATTGAATTTTCTTGATCCTAAATATTACATTGAACAAAGGAAAGAAATGAATACGATATGGACGGTATTTTCTACATAATATTATTTAAACAAAATTTGCAATTGTAATACTGCAAATAGGACTGAATGAGATTGAATTAGAAGACGGGGTAGTAGGTAGGCAGTTCTGATAGTGATTTATATGCATAGAAAATATACAGCTGATAAAAATATGAGAAAGAATGATTAGATGAAGTCTTTTTGTGAATTTTGTAACACAAACACTGGAGATTCAAAGGGTGAGATATAATCAGTGGAATGAGAAAATATGTGAATACATTTTGCGTGCATTTATATCAGTATTAAAATTAACTGCCTACAAGCATTCAATATAATTCATAGTATTAATATTTCTGGTTCCACCTTCACTACCTATTTTATGATATTATTCACAGTCCTATAACTGTGGATCAAGAAGAAGATATATGAATGGCTGACAGTTATTACCTCAGAACCACCTTCGTTTAAACAAATCAAAATCGCAGAAGAACTGAATAGTTCGTCTACGCACACTTGCTGCAAAGAAATAAGTCCCTAAGCATTTTAGAAGTGCACTGTAGCAGCAAAGGTCTCCATGACCACTATGTCTGTAATCTTCTGTGCCTGCGGGATTCACACGTGCCTAACGACATATCTGGGATACACAAATCTGACAACTCTGCCATAAGTTGCGCGTTTAAGAAAAATTTTGTATTGCTTTCTGATGAACACCAGAAAGAATATCAGTTAAACGTCATACATAATTCCAACTTTTTTGAAACAACACATACTTCAAGTTCGCAACACCTCCCTTCACCGAGTAATATATAAAATCCAGTGAAGATAACAACAGCTCATATCAGAACATAAAAACCGTTTAAATCTGACGGTATAAAAAGAGGACATAGCGTTGATTCATCTACATGAAGAATAAGCACCCACTGTTTTAGATGACAAAAACAATGCACTAATCCATAAGACCAAATTGTATTCTGATATCCTGAGATTAGGTGAAGGCAACAGTAAATGTGGAAGAGAAACAAAAAACGCTATAACTGATTTGGAGGCATTCAAACGTATCATATGGTCAGATAATGTCCTGTGTGTTTGTCACTCCAAAAGTCCATAAACATGAAGTTTTTATCCTGCCAAATGTTTAATCCTTTTAAATTGTTAGCATCCGACGGTTAAACAGAATGTTTCAACATGTTTAGTCTAATCTTTGAAGGTGAAACTACATTGCATATAACAGGATTTCATCATCAGCTGGCATTGGTTAGAGAACCACTGGAAAACCTAGAAGTACTGGACAGCTGTTTCTTCCTAGCTCGCGGCTCTTCAGCGGTAAACAACGACTGGGGTTCAAAACCACGACCTTCCGGTTACAAGACGAGCTTGTAGACCATTAAGCCACTGGGACTCGATCGAATGGGGCATGAATTCTAACTTTTACCAATTCACGACACATTGTAACCGCTAGCCAATGTCTTCGGCTAGTAATTGTCGTCACAACCGACCTGCTGCACCCTTCTGGTCACGACTTCTCACTGGAACCCCAGGTAACTACCTACCTGAATAGGGCCAGTCGCCAGAGAGCATCTCAACGATATTCGAGTATTGTTTTGTAGGGATTTGATTGATTCGTTACAGGATTTCATCATCAGCTAGTATTGGTTGAAGAGTCCCACACTAGCACGAAACAGCTGTTCAGTACTCTCAGGTTTTCCAATGGTTCTCTAACCAATGCCAGCTCATGATGAAATCCTGTAACCAATCAATCAAATCCTTACAAACCAATACTGTATTGTTATGTTTCTTCTTTCCTCAAAAGCACAAACATTTACTGGAAAGAAACTTCTGTCTATAAAACTTTACCAAATATTGTAAGACTTAGATTAGATTACTTATAAAATGCGTAAAACGGCTGTTTCTTCAGTTTGATACCTCAACGCAGTATTATGACCCAGTGAAACTATCCACTGTCTAGCTCATGAGGTCTTCACACCATGTGCCCAAAACTTTGACTTATCTAATACTTTTCATACAAATCCCCAGAAATAATTATTGAAATGTATATGTCTGAAGTGTCAGTCTGACTAACCATTCACTTACCGGAACTAGAACGCTTCAAATCCAGTCTAGTGGATTGTTGTTATCAGTACAAAAACCTCAAATGCGACAGTAAACGTTTCTTGACAAAGGAGCACAGAGAAGAACTAAAAAAACTGATAAATGATGAGAGACTGATAATCACAAAGCCGGATAAAGGATCAGGATTAGTCCTCCTTGATAGAAGTGACTATAGTAAAAGGATGAATGATATATTGAAGGACACACAGAAGTTTCAAAAACTTGAGGAGAAGAAAGATTTCAGTAACAAAATAGAGAATGAATTAACCAAACGTTTGAAGAAACTAAAGGAAGAGCAGATATTTTCTGAAAGTTTATATGAAGAAATCTGACCAACGGGCACGTATACGTTAAGATTGTATGGCCAACCTAAACTGCATAAACCGGGGGTACCATCAAGACCAATATTTGATATGCAAAATTCGCCCTACCATGCTCTAGCTAGATGGTTAGTAAATATTCTCAAACCTTTGCATGAGAAGATAGTGAAATATAGCGTCAAAGATGTATTTGAATTCGTAGACAAAATAAAAGATATTAACATCAAGGACAAAACCATGATATCTCTGGACATAACATCATTATTCACAAATGTACCTTTAATAGAAACAGTTAATTACATAGGCGAACAAGTGGACAAGCTGTCGATAAACATTGGCATACATACTGAGATCCTAAAAGAATTGATATTAAGATGTACCATGAATGTAAATTTCAAATTTAACGGCATGATTTACAGACAAGTTGACGGGGTGGCGATGGGCTCCCCATTGGGTCCCATTCTGGCTGATTTCTTTCTAAGTAAGCTAGAAAATGGACCTCTGAACAACCTTATCAGTAAGTTCTCATTTTATTGCCGATATATGGATGATACCTTTATTCTTTGTGATAATTGTTCTGATAAGAGTACAATAATCACTGAATCCAATGAAGTACATTCGGCTATGAAATTCACATGCGAAGAGGAATGCCAAGACACAGAATTGCCTTCCTGGATGTCCTAATTACAAGAAAACCAGATGGTAGCATAAGAAGAAATTTGCATAGAAAAAGCACTAGGACAGGACAATATACACATTTTCACAGCTTCGTTCCTATCAAGTATAAAAGAAATTTAGTGAAGACCCTCAGCCACAGAGTTAGAGCTATATGCTCAGAAGAAGTAATTGAAGATGAATTAAGCATTGTATATGATACTTTGATCGAAAATGGCTATCCCGAAAAATTTATCAAGAAACATATGGCAAAGAAAAAGGAAAAGGAGCACTCACTATCTGTAAAAAAGAAGCCTCTTTATATACGACTACAATTCATGGGCGATATACCAAGCGAGATAGTTGCGAAGAAATTAAGAAAATCAGTTCAAAGAACTTTTACTGCTGGCGAACTACACGTCTTATTCTCTACACGACCGATGGTGATTCCTCGACTGAAAGATGAAGTACCTAGACTAGCCACTTCTAATTGTATCTATCAATTCAACTGCGCTTGTGGAGCCAGTTATATTGGCCGTTGCTCTAGGAACTTGATTTTTCGTGCTCGAGAACATCTCCCAGCATGGCTAAGTAAAGGTGTAGTGAAAACTATTAACAGCTCGATATTGGAACATCTGGTGCAAACAGGACACAAAGCCAGCGTAGATGAATCCTTCTCTATATTATACCGGGTGCCAAATAAATTACCAAAAACATCGAAGCACCGCAGGCTCCAAACAGCAGAGGCTATTGCGATTCGCCTCAAACAACCAGCACTCTGTGTCCAAAAGAAGCAAGTCCAACCCCTACTATTGCCCTGGCCTTCAGTAGAAGCTATAAACTCATGAATTTGTACTATTATCTTTCTTAATGTTTCTGACATTCAGCTTATTCTATGTTGATGCGATTCAGGTGTAATTTATCAATATTATTGATGTTATTTAAACATTAATGTCGTTTATAACACTAATTCATTCATTCACTATAATGTATATATAAATGTAGAGCCTGATGATGCATTTATCGAAAAGAGAACTCTTTGTTCAGTATCCATTCACTTACCACTTACCGCACACAGAAAAATGCTAACTAAGACTTTCTTCGTCATTTTATAAATATCAGTTAAAAAGTATGTAAGCTACACTGCTTTGTGCGTCGGTGGCACAGTAGTTAGGACTCTCGCCGACCATGCACATGGTCCGAGGTTCGATCCCCTGCCGACGAACACCTGATATCTAGGGTCGACCTGCAAAATTTGGGCTACCGATATCACATGCTGAAAATTCCATACTTGTACCAAAAATGCAGTGTGGAATCAAGCTGTAATCAAAAATAAAAAAAGATAAATAAAATAATAGCAATGAAGCCATCGCTTAACACTAGTCTAAAACTGTGCATCCAAAACTGTTGAGGTATCAGCAATTTGAGCAGCGAATATCCCATGCAATTCACAGATAAACATATCAAATTCTGGAATTCACTGGGACGCTCATTAATTTCAAAAATAGTTTGTCTTTAGTCCTGCGTCGGTGGCACAGCAGTAGAATGTTCGCCTGCCGTGCATGTGGTTCGAGGTCCGATCCCCGGCTGACTCACTTCATCAACTCACTGAGCCTGAAATAAGACTGGTCAACACGGAGTGCTGGGCATTAGGCTAACAACCCCATACCACAAAAAAAAACACCATTGCTACCGAAACTTCACACCTTTAGCTTGAAACCCTATTTTCCACTGGAAACGTAAAGGAATAAAACTAAACTTGTTAAGTTAGAGCTGGAATTCATAGGCCATTGGATCGGGTCCCAGTGGCTCAATGGTCTGCAAGTCCGCTTTGTAACCAGAAGTTTCTGCATCCGAGTCTCAGTGAGTGTGAACTGATGAATAGCACCAAAATGGAATGGGTGTGGGGACCAGCAGTCCAAGATTTTCCAGTGGTTCCCTAGTCGATATCAGCCGACGATGAGTCCTGGAACATTCCGAAAAATATTGTGTTTAAAATTCGACTTTGATTAGACTTGAGTAAAGATGCACATTTACTGATTTCTCCTCTGGTTGAAAAGTATTTTTCATAAAACTATCTAACATCTTAGCTTCTCGTAACCTGTTGTGTGGCACTGTTCACTAGTTTAATAAAAAGTAAAACTGTGTCCTAACTAATTTACTGCTTAAAATTTTGAGTGCAATGAATAGCTAATAGTCCTATAAAGTTGTTCACATCCTATCCTGTGCTGTATTGTCATTGCAGTAGCTTCACCTGCTATAGTGGTTGTCGTGGCTCATGCGCTAGGCATTCATTCAGTAAATAAACATCCAGTGAGTGTCCTCTCCTTCTTTTTAAAAATATTGCACTTCAGAACCATATCTTTGAAGCCTAGTAATATTAACTTAATGCTAAAATTGATATTCTACTCATAGCTTATGATGCTAATATGAAATAAATTGACTGATTTGCCATGCCAGTGCAAAGTTATACGAAGTGTACTCACCCACGCGTGATAAATCAAATTTAACCATGTGGGGAACTAGCAAAGGTATGGTAGATGAAACTCTCAATCATGCAGACGAAGCCAAGGAGACAATTGCCAAGATGAATTACCTCTAAAGCTGATGAGGTATTATTTCAGTCTTCAAAAACCATGTGTTACATGATTTCAGTATCTGAATTTTTGTACTGAACCTTTTTCAATATAGCCACTGGCTAGAAGTGACTCCGTTATTACCACTGTTTCTGCAGAAACGATTGCATCTAGGGGCATCAGCATTTCAATAATTCAAAAGCTTGTTTGAACGATATGAACATCTTTGATTCTGTGATGTCATTTTAAGACAACGGAGGCAGGAGTTCTGATATGGGCTACCAATGGCATCCCAGAGGCTTGTATACCTTTTCATAATTTGTCAGTCCTAGAAATAGTTGAAAAAATGTAGACATAGTCGGCCCATAGAGTACTGTCATACGACAGAGGCTAGATGCGTTGTCCTAAAGTCCCTGCACAACCCTCATAACTATTTTTGCGATGGTTGGATGAAACATGCAAATCAGTGGCCTAGAAGTCACCATATACGGCTGAGAACCTAAATCAATTATAAAGATGTTTTAGCTTCCTTTTTTATTCTCCTTTCCAAAGTGGTATCAGGTGATGAACTCTCTATTTTAGGCATATTTCACAAGCGCATTTAGTTTTTTTTCAGTTATTTTTATTTCTCTTCCTCTCATACTTCTGTGACGTTATTTTGTATGGATCATATCTTAACACTAATACTGTGCCAAGTAACTAAAATAGTGGCTAACAGAAAAACTTTTCGTACATCTAAATGCATATAATTATGCCAGACTGGGTAAAATACAGTGCCACGCACATGTAAAAGACGAAAACCGACCGACTGTGGCATACAAAGTCTGTTACTAAAAAGTGAACTAGTATTGAATAGGCGTTAGTTTTAAATGTAATGTAGGTGAATGAAAGAAACGAGTGATTACTGAATGCTTGTCTGCAGGATCGACATTTAACTGACGCCACAAGAATAATTAAACACTAATCTTTAATGTTTACCATCTTAAACCATTTCTAGAAGTAAAATAAATCTGTTGGACTAATTAAAATAACGTCTTAAAGTTCAAATGTTACTCATAGAAACTTAGCTAGTTTTAAAGATGTTTAAGTCATTTGGTCCTATCTGAAACGTGTCTGGGAGAAAGTAATTCTCTACAAATAGTCTTAATTCACACTATCCGTCAATCATTAGACTGCAGTGACCTGAAGTCTAACTGCATTCTCCTTCCCCTCCGACTCCCCCCCCCAAGATTATAATCACACTCTTCTTTAACATTTTTGCTATAGTAATTTAGCGATATGATAACTGCCATTGTAAATCTTTTTTATTACGAAAAATAACCTTTTTAATTCTACCCTATCGAAATTCCATACATTCTGTCATTCGACTGTATCACTACAACCAATTTCTACTTTATTTTCCTGAAAGATTTCACAATTGACGTAATACCGACGTGTTAATCGATACTCTTTTTACATCATCTATAGGCACTGAAAATAATAATTAAATTAAGCTGTACTACAAAAAAGTTTTTTATTAGAGGGCTTCACTTTCTATGATGATGATTCTTGTTTGAAGCTTAACCCTCTAAAAACAGACACCAGATTCCTAACTGTAGTTTATAGTTGAACCAATCAATCAGTGAATCATAGGTCACAGATCTGATTTTTTTTCAATACTTGTTGAGTGAATACATCAATAGACTAATGAATTTTGTTTATCAGATGTTCAAGAAGTAAATAACGTCAGTACGTTCATATAATAGGGAGACTAAGTTTGCACATATAATGATCACATCTGTCTTCCAAATAAACAACCGGAGCGTCCACACATCTCGGTACAATATTTTTTTATTTATTTTTGATTACAACTTGATTTCACACTGTATTTTTGGTACAAGTATGGAACTTTCAGCATGGATATTGGTAGCCCAAATTTTGCAGGCCGACCATAGATATCAGGTGAATAAATTGTAGCACCATAATTCAGTAGCACATGGATTATTACCCTAGAAAGTGGAAGAAGTGTAATCACGATTCACTTAATTGCAAACAATCGTCAACTTTAAGTGTGAAGTCCAGAATTCAATGGAAGTGTGGTATCGTTTTGCACTAAATGGTGTATGCACTTTAGATGTCAAGTAATCATTGTGGATGCCAGTGTGAATCCTGTTAGGTCACCGAACAAACAAGTCCATCATTGTGCAATAGAAGAAAAATTTATATCTGGAGCTAGGGATGACAGCTACTCCCTGAGAATATACATACACCTATCGCGGTGAGAGCTGTCTGAAAGCCAAAGTTGTAGACAACAATTTACGTCAGTGTTCATGTCCCGAATTAGGGTCATGAGAAAAACAATAACAAAACTTAACCTTGAGGAAATCAGCAGCCAGTCACAGCGGAGTTAAAGTGTGGAAATATGATTCACAGATATATGACTTGATTTTCTGAGAAACGGCCACGAAGAGATAACAGAATAACCATCAGCAAGAAAACAACCAATCGGAAGACGTTGCTTCTCCACTAACAATAACGCTAATAATAATGCACATAAAAGTCTATAAATACCTCTTGATTTTGTCGATAAACGATCTGTTACCTGGCTCTTGTCTTCTGTCGTTACACTATAATCATCTTCTGATGTGGAGTAACTGGAACCAACAGTCTTGTTACCTATACTGAGGTTGTTGATGAGATATTCACAAATAATCTTGAGAGTATAAACTGTACGACTAATCTTCAGTTTTCGATAAATGTATCTTGATTTTACTTTGTTGTTATTGTTGTAATCACTTGCTTATGCTAGATAACTGATCTGACCTTACTGCTAGACTGCTGAATAATACTAGTGTAAATGTAACGCACAAAATTATTTTAAATAAGTTGAACTGATAAAAGTCGAACTAGTAAGTTATTTCGTGAGTTATACTAGTTGCTCCAATGAAGAATCTTGTTTCAGAATACATGCAGCAATTTAAAAGGTACTAAATAAAATCATCACTAAAACTACCTAATACTTTGGCATTCTTACACAGCTGGCACATTCTGTGGGGTCATCCATAATTGCATTTCCAAGGAAGTCGACGTTATATATTCAATGGATGAGAAATCATCACAGAAGAATAAACCCACCTTAAACCCTGTAATCTATAATTTTCGATTCAATCTGGAACACAGTACATCGTAAATAAATGCGTAACTTAAAACGTCACTAACTTTTGAGCTCGTAGGTGAATTAAATCAAAGAATTTGTGAAAAGAATACATCTCTAGACGATTGCTTTAGGAATGTTCAACCACCAGCTGGAGAAGTATGCGTAACCAAGCAGTTTCTGATTACTGTTACATAAAAGTCTATTAGGATCCAGTTCCTGTCAGCTTCTACGTCGTAGAGTAGATCACTTAATTGTAATTGTATATATTTCAACGGTTATCTACCCACAATTAGTTATTTTTTATTTTGCTCGAAATATAACTAAAACAAAAAACGCACCACTGAATTACAATTATAATTAATTAACCATCATAACTTTAAAGTCTGTTTCTTCACGAGTCATATATTCTCATTAGAATTTGAATAAAATGCATCATAACGCCAGCCAGTAAGCGCAAAACATACACACACTGTTGTGTGGACTCACCTTAATCCACAAAAGTTCTTCATTTATCTCATTTAATAAACGGTAGACATTTTTCACTGCTACATTCCACTGACTTGTCTCCCACAAATTCTTTTCCAAGTTTGAACGATACCTTTCAATGTAATTCAGACTGTTCACTACATTCATTTGTAAATGTGTTCTTGGAGTAGCGTCACTTTCACTATCATCAATGTGTCTATTCTCTGAACTAGTTATATTGTTCAGTAAATCTTTAACAGATTCTATCCATATAACTAACTGATTCATATCCATCTGAATTTGATCTAGGCATGTGTCTACTGAATTTGTTCTATTCACCTCTGTTAAGTGTTTCAGCTGTAGCATTTTAATTCCGAATTTTTGTAGTTGATCATTCAGTTGAAGTAAGAGATCCAACCATTCTTGACATAGTTTCAGATAATTTTCACGACTATTTAGTTTATCTTGCAGTTTTCTATTTCCTTCTAAGATCATATTCCATTGTTTCTTATATTTATCACGCAGACTATAATTTATCGATGAAGTCAGAATTGAAGAAAGCTCACATAATCTTTGTAATTTTAAATTAACGTATGTCTCAGTGTCACTGATTAAAGCGGCATGTTTATGTCGTGATGATGTGATCTGATGTCGATAAGTGATTAATTCATTCTGTGGAAATTGATATACTGCATCAAATTGTTTGCTGCATATATTAATAAAGTAGTTTTCCAAGGAGTTCATGTGTTCCAAAAATTTCATGTCCTCTGTACTTGATGCTATCCTGATTATCTGAATATTCTCTTGTAACCAAGTGAGGCATAATTCTGTTTTACGCTCATATTTTTGACCTAAAATCTCCAAATTTTCCTTAAAAAGCACCAAAAATTCATTATGGTCCGAAGTAATAATAATAATAATAACTATTTTGTATATTCGTCTTCTGAAAACGAAAAAAAACTATTCGTAATGCAGATTACTAGGTATCTCATTAGATCTTAAATACTTTACTAAAGAAAACATAAGTGTGTTCGTTATTCAACAGCTGGAAAAAATTAACAGATAGACAGTGATGGCTGTGTTACAGGTCCTTCCACTTACTATCGTAAACAACATGCTAAAGACATTTTGAATCTGAATGCGGTTGTCTGTTGGATAACCTGCACACGATATACTGATGAGACTGGATACCAGTAATGTGCTGCAATAAAAACTATATAAAAAACGCTTCAGAGCAAGAATATAAGATTATCTTCGTTATAAGAGGCCACTTTACACATCTGCTGGTGAATATAGCACTGCAATTAGACAGTGAATGACTACGATATCAAGTCAACTCAGGATATTACAGAAATGAACAAAAAGAGTGTCTTTGCAGTGCAGTTACTCTTAATTTCCGAGATGTTTGCATTTTAAGAAAATGCAGTCAGACAAGCAAAAAATTTAGTATCATGGTTATCAATGCTATATATATTCCCGTAGATAAATCCATAGACATTTGGGCATCAGTGATTTTCATCAGCGTTAATTTCACTTAAGAAGTGTGACGTATATATATATATAGCGTTTACCTATTCTGAATTAAATACATATTCTCGGGTTTTCTTAACACAGAAATACAACAGATAGAGTCTAGCCGGATAATATACAGAAAGAAACAGAATGTTAGATGAAAGTGAGCTTGCCGAAACCTATACGTAAATAATCATGTCTTGATGATTGTTCAGACTCCAAGTCATTTCAATTGCTTCAGCCAATGCAGCTAGAACTCCCACAATATGTACGACAGATTACTAGCTAAAAGCTGTCTCATTATCTACATAGGAAAATATCCCTTAAACAGTCATGAGTTTCAGTTTAATTAAGAGGAACTGCATGTTCTCTGTACTGTTGTGAGATTTAAGTGCCATTTAGAAGTAGAGATTTATTCATTATGATTACTGTCAGTGAAAGAATCCTAAAGCAAAAATAGTATTAAAAAGTAATTGTGTGACTGTTAACTAGATGTTACAGTGTTCAGTTAAAGATTTATGTCAGTCCAACAGAAGGTTCACCAAATACTTCAAAGACTAGTACATTATGAGAACTGTTTCAGATTTCTGCGACGAAAATACGCAACAGTTCTTCAGGTGAAATCGAATTTACTTTTTAGACAAGAATAAACACTCAAACGGTAAACAGTAATTTTAAACAGTCAGATTTATCTCTCATCGCTCTTTTCATTTCATTAGTTTTCGTTTCAGTTGTTCATTAACTCTAGAACAAGTTGAGAAGGCATAAAACAGACTCTGTTCAGCGTTAACAACTAGTTACTGTTGATGAATTACGATTTCTTGGAACGGATCTATAGTCTAACAGAACCTATAGATACCGTCGCATACACCTGCAAATCTCTGAGTAATCCTAAAATGTTAGACTTCTTCAAATCCAACATCAAGTATTAGTTAAACGCAATGAGATTTGTTTTAGAATTTTTAACTTCAACACAAAGGCAATGCTCACCGAATTTCGTCGGTCGATACACTGTCAAGCTGAAATTAACATCCATCAGTTAAGGAAGGTAAACTAACTCAAAGTCTGACTAACATAAAGGTAATAATTACGATACTTTTCACTTATTATTAAACTATTTGACCAGCATCAAATTATTTAACATTGTAATACATTCGGAATCCGTTCTCAAGATGTTTCAGGAAATTCGTAAAATATACTGTCTGAATGTTTATAAACTTAGTTGTCTAGTAGCTTGTCTTATTTGTTGCAAAAATTAAGTCGATACGTTAAGCTGAAATCTGAATACTTCAGGGGACTCTGAAATGGTGTATTTTGCATTTCAAGCTTTTTGTTATCGTAAAAATCAATTTAACAGAACTGAGAAAAAAAAATTAGAAATCTAAAAATGATTTCGCTTCCAGTAACTTTGAAGTTATCAGTGTTTAAATAATAATGTTTCAAACATTCATGAATTAGTGAGAGAACAAGGACTGTACATGAAAATATAGAACGACTCACTCTTCGCAGTAGTTCATCAATAATAGCCAAATGACAGTTATGTTCAACAATAGTCAGAGATTTCCACGACTCTTCCAGATCGTTTAAATGAAGACCATTTGGTGGTTTAAATAATCGATGTGACGCTGCCAGTTGACTGGTGTGAATTTCACTCAAAAGAGTCTAAAAAATAAAGAATAAAGACTGTGCACAGTGGATGACTAGACGAATTTGTGTAAATTTCACTGGAACTGTTCATATAACTACGACTTTTACAAGAACAAAATGAATTAACTAGCAAGCAGATGACTGAACGCCGCATGAAATTCTAGATGAAGTTAAACTTTGAAAGAAAGAACACATGAACACCAGTTTGAAAATTCTATACCGCTATACTGCAAAATGACGATTCAGAATGTCAATTATGCGCTAATCTGCGTTCTGAATCAGGTCAGCTCGAAGAAAAAGTTTTTCTAAAATTGGCCCCAAATCAATATAGTAACAACTAAGGCTTAGAGACTTAGGTACATTTTTAACCATCTAAATGAATGACGCTGTTTCCGATTTTATATGAATAGTGCATTTCATTTAAAATTGAATACATTATGCTGAAGTATTTTCCAAGCAGTTAAATTGCCTTTTTAGCTCGCTTTTACTTAGCCTTACTCATTTACAACTGTGATACAGAAATCGAAACCTGCTGACATCCTGTTTAACTGTAATAATCAACCTGAGGTGAATATTAAATTGTTTTATCAATTCTGAGGAAAGGCCACTCAATCAAATCGTGTTGCAAAGGCTCATGGACGGAATTTTCGATTCAATGTGGTTTGGTTTTTTCAGTCTCAATCACCAAGGTGTTCAGGTACACACTGTCTCATATTCAAAACCATATCACTCACTGATAAAGTCGGAAGTACGATAACTAAGCCAATTAGGTCATAGGTTGGTCCTGATATAACTAGATAAAGAGTAAAAATAGGTCATAAAACATTCAATGGTGCACCCTTCAGGTTATCAAGTCTGTATTTTTTAAAAATTTTTTTCTGATTACAGCTTGATTCCACACTACAGTTTTGGTAGAAGTATTAAATTTTCATCATGTGATATCGGTAGCCGATATTTTGCAGGCCGACCATAGATATCAGGTGTTCGTCGGCAGGGGATCGAACTCCGGACGACGTGCATGGTCAGCAAGAGTCATAACCACTGTGCCACCGACGCACAGATACAATTTTCAGTAAAACCTTTAAGTAAATTGTTATGATTTTGCAGTGCGCTGAATTTCGTATTGATGCTTTATTCATTCTCATTCGCTTTCACTTCAATAACTACCAGTACCTAAGAAAATTCTGACAGCAAATATGAATTGTTAAACATTTAACATATGAACAATTATAAGTTAAAATGCTTACTTCCAGTTGGACTAAGTCGGACATTTTCTCAGCTTTTTCTTTTTGTCGCCAAGACAGTAAATTTTGTAATTCTTGTTTCACATCCAGCTCATTTCTGATTGCATCAGTTGCGTTCAATTTCACTAGCAGTTGATTTAACAGCTTATTGTTCACGCTACACCACTTTAACCAGCGTTTAGTCTGTTTCATATATTCAAAAATTCTGTGACTAATAGCCAGACTCTGTTGTATAACTTTCGTCACTCTTTCACAGGATAACTGAGCGCTGTGTGACGTTGTCAGACATCTATACCATGTGGCCACAAGTGTCAGTACACATCGTTCTTCTAACCAGCATGTTTGGATGAAGTCTTTTGATTCAATTAATATGGGTATTCCTAAATGTAAATAAGCCTGCTGGAAAATAATTTCCAACCGCACTTGAGAATTTTCTATGCAGCGTATCTCGTCAAAATCAATAAGGTTTGGATAATGTCTATGCAGTAAGGCTGCAAACGCTAGACTGTCTCGCCAACTTTTTGTGAAATCAACGATTTCAACCTGTAAAATGAAAACATATGTGTAAATATAAGTTTGCATATATTTCTAAATCCTCTAGAATGCAGATGTACAATTGGTTTTATATACAATGTAAACGATCTGTGTGATTCTTCAATCCAATTCATCCCATTTAGTTTTCAAATATGCTCAATCAAAATATTCGACAAAATTTTCAATTTGTTACATAACGACATACATACCCCAACCCATGATCGTGAAAGTTTAATAACCGGAGATAGTTAGCCTATTCCCTTTCAAATCTCAATGAAGAGTTTAGTCAACAAAAGGAGTGTGTAACAGTGTAGTCTTCAAGTTTACGCAATATATTCTCTAGCCTGAAGGATTTCACAGTATCCAGATTTAGCTACTGTTATTAGACTGGCTGAATACCTGCTGACTGTTTTGTTGTCTCTTATTGCAACAAGACTAGATGAAGTGGGCTCCTATACTGCTGGTTAATAAGCTGTATGCAGATCAAGAATACAAATAATTAAAAATGAAGCCAGTACTTACATTATTCACTTTAAATTGATCTGTAAGTAGGAAATATCCTAAACACGTATCTTAAGTTTTGACATAATGACCTGAATACGGTTTTCTCCCAAATGAAATTTTGTAAGGCAACTTGTTCCCGTGACACATTAGATCTCATCAGCAGGATAATATTTTTGGAAATTAGAGTGACTGCAGTAAGCATGAATATCCCAGACCTTCCATTTAATGTGGTTTCCCACCTGACTAGCTTTTTTGATAGATATTCAGTCAAGTGAAAAAAATAAGGTGGTTGAAATTTCTTGAGAGTGTATAAAACATGTTACTGGTTGACGCATAAAGTTCGCTTTGGAATGACTTTTTAGTTATGTATTAATCTTTTTATTCAACCCTTCAAATCCACTTCCTCTGTTCTTTTGACATCTACAATCAATGCGCTTACTTTAAATTTTATTGTGACTCCAGTTTGGTAAAAAAATCAAACCATCATTATAAGACACCATAATGTTTTCCAGTTGACGTAAGGAATCTGACAACTAATTACCGCCTAGACCTTTCGATTGTTGGTGGCTCTTAGTAGATGTCAAAATTGATGGACTGTATGTGTAAACAAGTTAATAGGTGCTGAATTCTCACGAAGACCTGAATCTGCTACTTGTCGTTTCGAAGTAATATTGCGACAATTTTTAAGGAATCTGTAAGACTACAGATACCAGTCCATCCCATCGGTCTCGAAACATTGCATTTTCGTTAATTAAATATGTAAATTGGACTTCTTAAGAAAGCTTTATTTCTTGTCTTTGCAGGATACCTTAATTGTGAAATTCATAAAATTCAATTTGCGAAGAGGCTGTTGTTTTCTTAGTTGCTCTTTGCTATCTCCTTCAAGGTACGAAATAATTTGGAATCAGATGGATTAATTCTAGTTTACCAAAGAGGTTTAATCAATCGACCACATTCAAAACTTGCTGTAAAACCTAGTGCACTCCGTTTTGAGATAAAAAGAATTTAGTGTTAAAGCCTCTTCGCCTAGACATTATAGCAGAAGCACATTTGCACCATTTTGTAGAAATCTCCCGAAAACACCATTATTCTTGATGTATTCTAAGTGAGTATGGGCCAGCTAAAAGTGTCTTTTTCCCAACTAACATTTAAAGATACTTTCACAAATATCAACATTATTCTCAGCTCATTAATCATTAAAATTTACATTGTTGAGAATGAAATTAATGCACTATATTCATTACCTGGGGATATCCAGCAGTTTTTAACTGACACCAAAGGAGTAAAGCATCCTTCGCATGTCGAACTTCACCAGTTTCATCGGATTCTTTAACAATAATGTCTTGAACCTAAAACAAAGTATTTAAAAGATTAGACAATAAAACTTTCTACATCACATTATCTAATGGACTAATGGGGAAAACTGCATATATCCTAAGAAACTTGTTCATCAAGTATTTTTCACCTAACCATAGTATTTTAATAGATTTCAGAAAGATACTTTGTAGTTTTTCATACAATATTACTGAAATTTCAAAGTATCGAATTTCTTTATACAGGTTTTTAAAGCTTATTATACTTTATCTCATTCTTTCGTGGGGTTATTTCGCATTAGATTAATTCAACAGTGCATTGTCTGTCATAAATTTAAAAGTATCAGTACGACAGCATTACAATACCTTTGAATTGATTTGTTCCACCTTGAAGAGTTTTCGCTTATATACGCCGAGTCTGTTGCAGTTGATTTACACTGCCCAAAAATGGGTTAAACAGATCACTTACCAACTAACAAGTGTTAATGATTTCATCTATCCTTGATTAACCAGTCACTAAATATGTTGATTCGATTACTGTAGTTGGTTTTGGCATAGTCAATTTGACAGACTTTATATAAGCTTTACATTAAATCGGAGTCTTCAGTTTTCAGTAATAGAAATTACCCAGATTCCATACAAGAGATACGAGAATGACTTCACATCAATAATAATAATAATAATATTAACAGCTTTATTCCAAACGGTATTTGTGGTACAGGTATGGAATAATCAAGTCCCAATTTAGTAAATACTTAGATTATAATAATAACTCATGGCATTTTTAGTAGTCAGGCTATTCGATGTTCAAGCTGATCATCATACATGGGGTACAAACGTGTGGAAGTTTTTGCTAAATCAATACGGCGTATGGTAATAAAAGAAATGCAACCACAACTTAATGTCGACGCGTAGCTAACTCACTAAATCAAAGTCATTTTCTTAAACTGGCACTTAAACCTAAAACATCATTTAAGGATAATATTTACCTGTTTACAATTATATTAGTCTACATGACTGATTAACAGTAAAATGGCTGTAGGATCAAGAAAGTAAGCCTGACGTTTTCGCTAGGATGAGTTAGTCCATGTTAGTATTATTACTTTTCTAACTTCAAAATGGAGAGTTATGTTCAGATAGACATTAAGTGGCAAAGACCATAACATAGAGCCAGCACAGTGGAATAGTGCTACTGAACACAAATGCACTGAGCTAGTAAGTAAGACTGGTCATCGATTCCTTTTGAATCAACTCCTAAATTACAAGGCATAAAGATCAACTACTTGTTGAGGTAACACAAAAAGCTTCATATTCACTGAAGCTGTAAAATACAGTTGACAAAAAATATAAAATTCGAACGTTGAAAACCATGACTAAGGTGGTTCGATTACGTTTAAGATAACTGTAGTATTAATTTAGATTCCTTTACAATATTATAGTTTTACTGAATTCACAATTTATAATTTACACAAACTGAGGTGAAATCTCTGCAAAGTTTCCCACAGAAAGGGAAATCATTCAGAACACAATGTACCATCTGCTCAGTACCACAAATAGCAGTCAGGAGAGTGAGTGTAAATGCATGATACTATATGATATCAGTTAGTTCTCATGAGCAGTCGGATACCACTCACATCAACTAGCAGTGCTTCCTGGACAGATCAGAGTGACCTAAGTGCCGATTCGCCCAAGTAGCTAGTTAGAATTCAAGTGGTTTGAACCGAGTTCAGTCAGACCGAATACACCATTGATTATGTAGGCCCCAAACGAACTAAACAGCTGTCCAGCACTAAGATTATTTAGATGTGACTAGTAAGCACATCTGGTTGACGTAACTGTTGGGCAACCACTCATTTCAATCAATAAGTAGTATATAAGATTACGTATTCTTGTTTTATGTTTTATAGTGATTATTAACTTAGGCCGTATACTTTTTAGTCCTTTGCCTGAGTCAGTTATAACAGATCGCAAGTAGGCTTGCATATCTCACTGAGCAAAACCCTTATCAGGTAAGTTAGCAGTGTCATCTATCAAGTATAATTCGATCAGAAGATTAACTAAACGAAGATCACTTCCGTGGATAAAAATAGTAAAAGTGTGACTTTAAGAAATACACATAGAATTCAAAAATTAGCATAAACTGTATACATAAGGAATAATTTTAACCTAGTGGTTATAGATTCAAGATAACACGATCAATACACCAGTTACTGCCAGGCGTTCGACAGAAATATTTCGAAGAAAATTCGAGGAAAGAATTACAATCAGTTTAGTGTTAGTTATTTGTCTAAACACAGTTTTCATAATATAAAAAGACAAAATTCAAAAATTATTTTTTTTGGATAAAGTCCCTCCCTCAATCAACTTGAACAAAGCACCAACAACAAATTCGGCAGAATTTTGTGATAGATGTTCATTTCGCCAGTTCCTCTCAACTGAAAGTAATTTTAATATCAATAACAAGTAGTTTATTCAACACTTGTAACTGGTGTGATGCGTCTAGTCCTCTGATTGGTGTAGACTGAATTCTATCAGTCAGGTTGTAATGTGACCACCATTCTAGCTAGCTCGCCATCACGGTGCACATTGATTTGATGGTTGCAGATACGCCTTGCTGATGAGTGCCAACTAGCACGAAACCTAGGTCCAAGGCTTCCTGCCGATTGCCTCCAACGATCTAATACCATCAAAACAAGTAGCTTAATTAATTAGCATGACGATGAAGGCCATTACATAATTGAATGATAGAACGGGAAGAATGAAAATTTTTAATAAGCATTTTGGTTAGTGTAGAAAAGTTACAAGGATATTCCAGGGTGAAGGAGTCTAAAATTCAAAAAACATTTTAAGTGAGGATTAGTGAAGTAGAGAACGAAAACAGTCAAATCAGCAGTAATTCCTCTATTTGTATACTAACCTTAAAAGTTCTTTAGTTTGTGTTTATACATAGATATAATGTGTTCAGATGTTAGTTTGATGAAAATCTGATCGACTTTGTGATAGATTTCTCCATGAACCAAAGTAGATCACAGCATGATCTGAAAAGCCTTTTATTTTTCTGTAGATCTTTCCTTCAGACCTAACTGATGAACCCCAAGCTGTTGTTGAACAAGTTACCATTCAACCATTTGAATAGAAACCTATAAAGCAGGTTATGAAGACATACTGACGACGATGTACAAATGGTACCTCAGCATCACAAACTGACAAAGGAGTACTATTCTGGAATCAGCCTTGATCACAAAGTCGTTTTTATAGTGAAAAAACATACATATACAATACTTATACAACTATATGTGTGAAATATTACTTAAAAAAAGAAACTAACCACTGGTAGAAGCGATGATTAATGTAGTCATAATATTGATACCAAGGGTAAATAACAGTTAATCAGTTTAGAAGAGGAGACGAGGTAAAATAATATTGCTTGAGGTTAAAACATAAAATTTATGCCAAGAACGTGTACTGACCATGTTGTACATCATTATAAACACTGGATATGCATATGTAATTTTTGAATAGTTGAATCAAATTTAATCGTGTCTCTTTTGCACAATGGACACAACACTTCACTTATAAATGGAATGATTTAATTAAATTCAACTTCCCCTGTTAACTAAAGTGGATGCACCGTAATTGATATGTCACTTTATAATAATCAAACATAAAAATTCATATTTCGTTGCGTAAAAAAGAAGAAATGACAATAGTTATCATTCTCTCATATTGTGACAGTTCTGCTAATATTGATTTTGCACCAAATATGGGTATTAGGAATAACTGTTACCTCAAATCATACCTCTATATTGCATAAGTTTGTTTGACATGACACATGGTTATTCAACATTGATAACCGTATGACATTTGGAGCACAACTTGTTGATCAAAATATTTCAATTGAATCACACAGCTTCATAACTTGCTTCGTATATTTTTTCTCTCTCCCGTGTTTTTTATTGCGATTTTCCCTGTACCCGGTGTAGGCGTTGCATCATTTCTACACCACATGCTTGCTAGCGTTTTGATGAAGAGAGATTTTGGTTATTGCCCTTTCTATCCATCTAACTATATTACTTTTTAGTACTTTTATCTAACCCCGCCCTCTTGTGTCATTACATGCAAGTGAATGTAATGCGACTGCTGAGATTTTTCGAGGTTATTTAACTTAACAGAGTCAATCCTTCTAAGTCTTTTTAGATTTTTATGTTCCAATAATCTGATGTACGCCGATCTACTAGTTTCACCTATTCAATTAAACTCACAGTTGTTAAATAGTGTTCGGTAAATCATATTATTTTTTTTAAATAGATCTATCGGGTCTTCAAGTTGACAACGTTTATCCCTGATAGAGTCACTTGGTTTAAATTCCACCCTAATTCCAGCTCTAATAAGAATCATATGTAGGGCTTCTGACGTTCCTTCTTTACATGGTAGTACAACACAGGCTTTGAGTTCCACATTATTTGTCATTTTCATCATTCTCATTACTACATCTATTTTTCCTACGGATCTCCAAACACCTCTGGATAAATTCTGGTGGGTAGTTATTCACCAGTAATATTTCCTTCGTCTACTTGATTTAATTATTGAAATATTATGTATTAGTCGTGTACAGACATTTAACTAAAACCTTTTTAACGATTTTAGACAGGATGATTTGAAGTCAAAGTATTTATTAGAGTGTGTCGGTTTCCCATAAATGCTAATATGTAACCCACCATCTTGTTTTGTTTTATCCTACAGTCTAGCATGGACAACTCATCTTATTCATTTTCTAACTCTAAAAAGAACTCTACTACTAGTGAGTTTACATGTCTGAGGAAATAAGGGATATATTCAGTTTTCGACACCATGAACATGTCATCCACATATCCCCACCATAACCTAGGAGCAGGATTACACATTCTCAGCTATCCCTAAATGTGTCTCCTACTACAGGCCATATCGGTGATTTCATTACCACCCCATTCGTTTGTTTGCATATTCTTCTCTGTAGCACATTTATGACATATAAAATTTATAGCGTGGTGACGCGCATCATAAATAATTTTTTGTTGAACGTATCATGCCGTGAGTAAACCTTTCAGAACAACTTTTCAAATAGAATTCAATAAAGATATTCATATTAATTGAAGGATTTCATCACGAGCTGACGTCAGTCACAAAACCATTGAAAAACCTGGGATTACTGGAAAGCTGTTTCGTCCTAAACTGAGGTTCTTTAGCAGTACACACCCACGGGGGTTCGAACCCAACCAATCAAAAAGAAATCCTTACAAAAATAATAATTGAAAAATATTTATATTAATTTCGAGACTGTGTTTCATACTTTGTATTCTTATCACATTTTCTTGAACAGGGTCGTAGAACTTTTCCAATATCTGAAGGAGCTTTATATTCTGTGTATATATTATCATGGAACTACTATAATTTTGTCTTGTTTTCATATTCAAAGTGCTGGTATTTCTGCAGTAAACAGCATAGTTATGATCTGCAAACTAAATTCAGCTTAAATACGGACTAAATCATACAAGATTTCATAGTTTTGAAATATACTGAACATCTATTAATGTACTTGCTCTGTAGTTTGATTTTCAAGGTGTCATTATGCCGAGAGCATTTATCCACCAGGGAGGGAACTTCTCTACCGTAATTATCATTTGTTTGGAACGTAAAATTTGTAAAAAATTTGAAAATTGGGGATTTTTTAGCTCAATTGGATGTTTGTGTTAATGGTGATGTTTTATTATCTGACGTAGGATGGGCTGTGGTTAGGCATCTACCATTAGCAAGTCTCTGATTTTTCTTCGGGCATTACTCTTAATAAATTTATGGGATTACATAACTGCTTAGCCACAGTGTAAGTTGCATCAGTCAGAATAGGTGAAAAGATACTGGTATATTTACAAAATAGGTGATATGTCCTCGAATTACTGGTAACTAAACTAATTCCCACCTGGATATTAGAATCTACTAGAAACAGGCTGTAGTTTCATCTCAAGCATAGAAAAACGTAATGACAATTTTCAAAACAGACTCACCTGATAGTGCAGTATAATTGTCCATATAAGACCTAAGGTTAGTCTTGGATTACCATCGACAATATCTTGTGCGCCAACATTTTCTAAATGTGCACCTTCTTCTGAAAGAAAATCCAATGCCCTATTAATATTTTCCAGTTGATGAATTCTCATATGACTATGATTTGTTCTGGCCTAAAATTAAATTTTTCAAAGATAAACAACAATTAACTCGAAAAAAGTAGAGACAAACAATTATTTAACATTTAGAGACAACAAATCTCTTCTTTTCAACATTTTTATATAAATATCATGGAAATCTCGAGTGAAAAGAAAACGTTTTCTGAGTATGAGCCATTGACTTTAGTATTATTTGCCCAGGATACCAACTTAAACAGCCTGTACATATATTATCAGACTCCTTCTCACGGTGGTACTATCAGTTAAAAAAAGACCTAATTTAGGAGGGGATTAAGAGTGATCAACATGCGAGAAGGAACTAATCTGTGAAATTTCTGATTACTGATCTTAGTAGCACACAGACTAGCCGGTCGTCTGGATTGGCGCCCCCCAGAAACTAGAAGGTTGCAGTGGGAAACTGTCAAGGAGAATGTGAAAACTTTATCGCAGAAACGCATAAAAGTAGTGGATCATCTTATTTGTCGGTGGGATCAATTCCTCATCAAGTGTTAGTTAGCAGGGATTTAATTGGCTACAGGTCTGGACGTGAGCTGATGTCAGTCAGAGAACCACTGGAAAGCCTAGGAGTACTAGGCAGCTGTTTTTCCAAATTTTGGGACTCCTCATCTGTAAGCACTAGTGGGGTGCAAACGCAGGCGAGCTCGTAGACCATTCAGGTACTGCGAATCGATCCAGTGACCCGCGAACTCCAACTCCTGCCGATTCAATATATATATATATATATATATATATATCACAAGGCAGTTTCATAGGCCTGTAGCTATTCTATTATCTGACTTGGTGGACCCTGCTAGTTATGACTTTCCACTAGAACTTCAGGTAACTTCTTGCAGTTACTAGTAAACATAAAGTTAACTATCAAGTGTTAGTTTGCAGAGAGCTGACTGGCTGAATGTTTGATCACGAGTTGATTGGTCACCATTTTACAACACCACGAGTTATCGAATACTGAAGGATAGTCAAATAAGTGAACCGTAGATTTCTTTAATCAGCACTCGATCGAAAACATTTTTAATTAATCACAACATCTTCGTTATAGTTTTCAAACATCAGCTGATTAGTTTAACTGAAATGCTTCTGACACCTGCCCAGATGAAACCAATTAATGCCAACTAATCAGTTGACTCCACTTACCTGAGCTTTCCAAGTTGGTGAATATGAATTACTAGTTGTATTAATAAGTAAGTAAATATAATAGAGCTAACTCTGAAGTAAAAATTCAAAAGAAAATCAGCACTTTAGTTATGCAAAAAGTTGTTCATTGACGTTTCTGTTTCTTACACATTGATCATTATGTGTTTTAATACTTTCATCATTTCCGTCTTTAACTTATAAATGAACTACAGATAAAACTAAAGTCACTTATCTGTGAATATTTCTTCATTCTGACATGAGATGCTTTTCCAAGGCCGACAGTCATCACAATAGAATAAAGCTTTAATCAACAAAAATAATCTATGCATTATCTCATCTCTGAACATTATGAGCTAAAAGCTTGTTACAGCGACAGTTGAAATTGGCGTGATATTGAAAAACAGTAGGGACTTCCCGTCATTATTGCCTTATATTACCCGTAAAACTGGTGAGAAGGACATTTCTCTTCAATTCCATATTAGATAACTTCATGATATGATACAATGATACAGTATTCATAATATTATTACCATATTAATAATACTGTAGATTCTTCTGAAGGAGGTGTTTGTTAAAATGACCAGTGTTGGCAATGTCTTCGACTGTCGCAGTCATCACAGAGCAACTACTGTCTTTCTGCAGCCATATGGGATAGTATGCTTGAACCCTTTGAAGCAAGGTGTGCATTGAACAACCAGTATACCTGGCTTTACACAAACAGCTGAACTGGTATATTCACATAGTGGTGGTCAGATACGAGATCTCGTCCTTAAGGCTTCTCATATTATAAATTAAAAGTCAATCTGAACAAAGAATATTCTTTACAATAATTTCTCTTCAGGTTCTTACAATTATAAAACATAATATTCGTAGTCGTTACAATAAAGGCCAGTTATGCGGTGGATATATTTTTAACGTAGAATAACAGATGAGTTATGGGGTGTCAAAATAAATAATCATATTTGTGTGACAAACGTGCTAGGCTGAAATCGATTATGATTAATCACCACCATTGTCTCCTGTTTTACAATATTTTCTAATCGATTTCAGCCTAGCACGTTTGTCACACAAATACGATTATTTATTTTGACACCCCATAACTCATCAGTTATTCTACGTTAAAAATGTATCCACCGCATAACTAACTGGCCTTTATTGTAACGACTACAAATATTATATTTTATAATTGTAAGAACCTTCGGAGGAGAAATTATTGAAAAGAATATTCTTCGTTCAGATTGACTCTTAAGGCTTCTGCAAACCAGTGAATGACTAGAGGACACCTAGTCTTCGCACTTTCGAGAAGAATACTATTCTCAAAGATGGTGAAATCGCAGGTTAATTCCTCCTTGAAATTCAGCTTCATATAAAAGTTAATTTTTCGAATGAGTAATATTTGGTTTCTCCAAACCTTTGGTTTGCTATTCTTGTCAATGAAACTTGGTGTATTTTCATTTCGGATGAAGATTTCTTTCAGCAAGTCTAGTTTTTCTTCTCGAGTGTCAGGATTTCAGATGCGTTGCACGCCAATGACAAGGGGTTTAATCATATTTTGACGTTAAATCACACTGCACCAATGTCCCAGATGTAAATATATAGATAATGCTGAGTCAAACACTGGAATACCAACAACGTGTTTCATTAAACTACTACTGAGGTGTACTCTAAGTGTACCATTGGCTTTCAGTGACACTATCTACAAGCAAAACTGCGGTATTGCAATGGGATTTCCCTCTGATCCATTACAAACAGACTGTTTCATGACAAGACTCGATGAAGGTCTATTAAAGTCGACCACTGACAATTCACTATTGTATGCAAGGTATGTAGATGAAATTTTCACCATTTGATCCAATGGCTATGACCTAAGTCAGTGAAAAATGTGTCAGCCCCTAATGAATCACCATTTTGGTGCCATTTTATGGCACATATCTTTTTCCCGATAAATTTAACTTAAAAGAGTACAATTACAAACCCATGAATGCTGTTTTGTTACGCAAACAGACTTGTCAGCATAGCTTTACTACTCCGCTATGTTTACCAAACCAATGTTTGTAGCATCAGTAGTTCAGAGTATTTTTAGAACTATTTCATCATTTACTTTAAAGCTGTTTTAAAGAATATTCACTACGTCATACATAAGATACTAGATAATGTTTTTTCCCAACCAGACTAAAACTGACTGAATACGGCAAGCTGAAATACAACACTGATTAATCGATTAGCCAAAAGATCTATCTATGACTGGATATTTACAACTTTAACTGTCACTATTTCGGTGGTTTTCAGTAGAATTTGACAATATATAAATCTTCTGGTGAAGCATAAATCACTTTAGCTAGTATTTGATGATCTATCACTGCACGCCTACAAAATTGTTTTATGCATATTTAGGCATCTTACACAGGTTAGTAACCATCGAAACACTACAGTCTTTTACGTGTAACTAAATAATTGCTGTCAGAACAAACAATCTCTATTCGAAATGAATAGAACTGTTGATTGCAAGTTTTGGTTGTATATATAGTAAACTCGCCTATTTTCATTCTTTCATTATTAACTGTCAATTCGGTAAACCTCAGTAAACCAAATCCGACAATTATATCTGTGAAAATTAGTATTTGCCTAATAACCTCCATTAGAATACAATAATGTTTTTAAGCAGTCTGCTAATTTTTCCAGAATTATTTGACATTTTTGATGCAGTGGAGAACAGATCTTAAAAAAAATAATCCCCAATATACTTAAAAAAAGTACCACAGACCCTATTTCAAACATTGAGTAGTAGAATAGTGTGATAAAGCGCACTTATGCCTCGAGTTATTGGAACAGCGATCCTGCTTCAGTCAAGTTATTTGCTTAACAGTAGTAAGAAGGGAACCGTATTTCATATTTTCACTAAGAACAAAATAGATTTCATTCTCTTATAAAGTTACTGTCTGCATAACAAGTTATTCACAAAAACACTGGCTACTAGTAAAAGTGAACGATTAACATCAGTTGTTCACGAAGTGGTAGCTAATAAAGTGGTTACGTCTTCAGTGTCAATCATCGCCTTGTGATCAAACTTAGCTAAGTAATATTGAAGCATCTCTCATTTTATCCGGTGGAAAAATATGATCCACTTTCTCTTAATTCACAAATTTTCAAAAGTGCACTTCTCACGTCTAGTAAGCTTTTAAACTTCATGTATTCACTCAAATTCGTTATCCTTACTTCCGCTGTTACATTCACTCACCACAAGCACTTATTACATCCTATACTTTTACAAAGAATTCAGGAAGTGTCTTCTGGTTGTTTTAAAAATATTTCTAGCACAATAAACATTCATATTAGGGAATTTTTGAAGTGATTTCCTACAAGTACGTGTCTTACTGCATGACTGAAACTTTCACATCGAAAAAAAGCTGAATTAATGCTGTACGAAAGTATTCAGTGATCAATTTGTTTTCATCATCTTCAAAATAAAATGAATACACCTTGAAATAATAGAGAAGATTTGTAACTCAGGTGGATGATTTGCAATTCATAGTGTTCTCTGAGCTGGTTGGATTAGCTGCGGAGCTTTCGTCGTCTTTCTGGACGACATCTTCAGGGCAGTATTTAGGATAAAGTGAATATAATTAAACCTACAATTAAACCAAAACTCTGGTTACGTTACGTTGATGATACATTTGTAATAATTAAGAGAAATAATTTAGAATATACCCATAAATTAATAAACAACATATTTGAAGACATCAAATTCACAAGAGAAGAAGAATTAGATAACAAAATCCCATTTTTAGATGTCTTAATCAGGAGAACCAACACAGGAAATTTAAAAACACAATTTTGTAGAAAATCAACACACACGGATC